GAGTCGGGGAGACGAGAAAGGGAGGCTGGCTGAGATTTCACCTATGACCCTCGCTATCCATTAATCCTGATTGTGTATCACGCGCAAAGTGGGATGGAGGCGGTGGTATGAGTGGCACAGCGGGCAGTGGTACGCACAGGCAATGTGTTACAGTAGGCCTAGGGTGCTGTATCGTCACTTCGTGACTGGCCGTCTAAATTCAGTTTTCATTTCCCATTCGAACACAAAACAAAAACAAACAAGCGAACAAAAACTACCATGGCGGGTGTCTAAATAACAGTGCACACTTTTGCGGGACCGCTATAGGCCTACTTACAAACAAAGGGAAATAGCACGGAGAATTTTCTACATGAAAATCTCTGGATTACGTCTACTTCGCACTTAAGCACGCTTCGGCTTTAAGCACGCTTAAGCTTTCTCCCGACGACCGTGCTTATAGCCGGCATGGACTGTAGCAAGGAAAAAGGGACGGAGAGGAGGCTGTAGAACGAAACGTTCCGGGATGAGGAAAAGTCGGATAAAATCAGACAGGCCTAGAAACAAAAACCTAGCCATATGCTACTGGAATTGCAGCAGTGTCAAGCAAAGAGGTCGAGACCTGGAAAATCTTATCTATGAAACGGATATTGTGATGCTCTAGGAGACGAACGTAGAAAATTTCAAATGCCCTGGCTACAAGACCTACACGAATCCATGTAGTGAGACCCATCACGGACAACTAATATTAGTCAAACAGGGCGTTACACACAGACTGATAGATGCGAAGCGATTCAACAGGGAGGACAGGGAGGTCCAAATTGTGGAATGTGAGGTGAGGAAGAGGAAATGGACGCTTATCAACATCTATGTGGGCAGTAACAGTGCCAGGATAGAGGAAGATTGGGACTTCCTGGAGGAGCTCGGCCAAATGAGTGAACGGGTGATGATCGTGGGGGATTTCAACGCCAGGAGTGTCAAATGGGGAAATGTACACGATAACATTCAAGGAAAGGCGCTGGAGAAGGCAATGATAGAGAGCAGTTTTTCCATCCTCAATGGAACACACATGACAAGGATTGCACAGCGCAATGGAGAGGATGATTTCAACATACATTTGGCATTGATTACAGCAGGTTCGGACGTCCTTGCTAAATGGCAGGCTCTGTCAGACCATGGAAGCGACCATCTGCCTTGCTCCGTAATGATCAATTTCCACGAGGGGAAGGATGAAAAATGCAAGATGAAAAAAACATTCAGATATGGAAAGGACAGTGGCTCTACTGTGCTGCAAAAAAATAAGGAGAAAGGCTTGGGCATCACAGGCAACTAAATCAAACTTCGTTCAGCCGCCTTATTGGAATCCTGTACTTGAAGAGCTGTGGCTACAGAAGAGAAGGTCAACAAGAGCATGGCATAGGGTGAGGAAATCAGATAAGGTATCAGACGAGGAGAAGAATACTCTCAGAGAGCGGATGAAAAGAGACGGGCGGCTTTTCAAGGAAAGTGCAGATGCGGCCAAGCAGGAACGGTGGGAGCAGTACGTGACCGAGGTGTCATCAGAGAAGGCACTACACAGGTTCTGGAAATTGCACAGAAAAATGAAGGGATTAAGGACTGACGCTGGATCTCTGTCTGTTAAATATGAGAACGATAGGCTACTGGAGACAGATGAAGCAAAAGGCCGGGCTTTCCTTGAGAGGTACATCAAGCAGACTCACCAAGGCAACATGGAGGAGCGAGCTAACATCGGGGCAATTATGAAAACTGCTGTGCCAGAGGTGCTGTATGGAGAGGGTGTCACAATACAGGAAGTGAAACGGGTCATAAGTGGAGCGAAGGATAGTGCAGCAGGGCCTGATGGGGTGAGATACAGCAATTTTAAGGATGCAGATGAAAAAGATCTACAGGGCATGGTGGAGGATTTCAACGAGAGTCTGGCCAAAGGCAAGATCCCAGAGGAGTGGCTACACAGCTACCTCATGCCTCTTCCTAAACCAGGCAAAGACCACTCCAACATTAAGGGATACAGGATCATCACCACGCAGAAGACGTATGGAAAGATCCTTGAAAAGATTGTGGCCAAAAGACTGGCAAATTACCTAGAGAGGAAAAAGCTCCTTCCAGACGCCTTGAAAGCTACAGACCAGGGAAAGACACCTGCACAAACACGGCTGTGTTAGCCTTTGATGTATTTGAGGGGTTCCAAAGAAAGGAGGAGACAGCAATGACTGCTATAGACCTAGAGGATGCTTACAACCGAGTTGATTACGGCAAGCTCATGGATCTCCTTATGGAAATGGATGTTGACCCCTGGTTGATACAATGGATATCCGAAGCTCTGTTTGAGAGGAAGGCGGTGCTGAGAAGTGGGCGATGGATGTCAGACCCAGTAGTGATTGCCTCAGGACTGCCACAAGGATCAGCATTATCACCGGTTCTGTTCAACATATATACATCCAAAATTGCCAGGATCGGTGTAAGTGGAGCAGGAAGAATCCTAACATTTGCAGATGATGTGATGGTCTACGGACAAGGTCGTGATAGGCTAGTGGTTGGACGGATGCTACAGGACAGGCTGAGCAAGGTCGCAGATTGGTGTGAGAAATACAATGCGGTCATCAATCCAGACAAAGCACAGGTCATCTGGTGCTCACTCAACAACCGTATTGTGAAAGATCCTACGCCTCCAATTGTGTTTGATCACTTTTTCATTGACAGACAGCATGAGCTGAAGTACCTGGGAATCACTCTGGACAGGACACTTTCGTTCCGAAGACATATTGACAAAGTTGCTGTCAGGGCTCAGAAGGGCATATGTAGTGAAGACCCTGGCTTCAGCGGGAATTCAACAGAGAGTTCTTTTTCTCCTATTGCAGCTGGTGGTTCTGTCAGTCATAGACTATGGGCTGGGCATCCTCTCCCTGTCCAAGACTCAGATAGACAGGTTGGAGAGAGTACAGAATGCAGCTATGAGGGCCGTTCTTGGTTGCACAAAGGACACACATGTTGTCTGTTTGAGATACATCCTCGACCTGGCCAGCATCAGAGTGAGGCATAAGGTGGCACAGGCAAAGCTGTACTTGAATGTTTTGGCAGACCCGAGGTACCCTTTGCATGACAACCTGGGCAGCATCAAAGGAAACAGGATCAAACGGGGCAGCTCAAGGATGGCAGAAGCCGAAGACTCCTTGAGGAAAGTTTGTGGCATCGATGAAATATACTGTGGAAAGGAATGGTCTGAACTGAGCCCCGATTGCAGAAGCCTGGCCAACGTTCACATCACTATGGGTCGTGAAAGACGGGAATGTGCTGCTGTCATTAACGACAATGATATACGACAGTTAATTGAGGAGCGTTCCAAGCCTATACGGATGGATCAGTCAGGAGGGGTGAGAGAAGTGGATGGGGTTTTGTGGTGTACAGTAGGAACAAAAAGGTTCATAGCATGTCAGGGGCCATAGAAAGAACAAGCACGAAAATGTAGATTGAGGCCGTAACAAAAGTGCTTGGATGGCTTCATAATACAAGACCAAGAACTACTCATCTCATCATTGTCACAGACTCCCGGAACATCTTGCAAAGGGTTGATAAAGGGCTGCTCCGGAGTGAATGGATGAACCCAATACAACACTCATCACTTACAGCCATCACGTGGATATTCTATCCTGGGCACTCTGGAGTGAAAGGCAATGAGGAGGCTGATAGGCTGGCCGGCAGTGCCGTGGTTGATGGTGAGGTGAAATGGGACAAAGGAGAAGTGTTGAAGACCCAGGAGAAAAAGTTGCGGGATGAAGAAGACAGGGAGACAGCAGAACACCACTTAATCATTAGGATGCGGGAAATGGGGATAGAGAGGGGAGAAGGAAGAAAGGAACGATTACCTGGAAAGGAAAGACGTCGCCATAATCAGACAGCCACCGGAACAATCAGTATGGATACCTTGCGGGCTTTGGTGCTGGGGGAAACTGAGCACTTATGGACCTGTCCGGTGTGCAATGACGTCGTTGTTGTCCAGAACAGGTAATACAGGTAATACAGAAGTCAACCGTACCCCCTCCGCATTCACACATATAACAAATCAAAACAGAAATTATGACAAAATAAGCCACACCCCCCCCCCAAAACCAAACAAAACAAAGAAACAAAAAAATAACAGAAAGCAGTAGAGTGGGGGTTGCTCTCTCAAGCAGCCTACGTAGCATTATGTAGGCTACATGTATCTTGGGAAGGCCTATAGAATTTTACTTTCTTACTTTGGTTGTATAACATGTAGCAAAGAATATCTTAAATCGTTTTTGCCCACCTCGCTCCATCAGTTAGGAACTTTGGAACTCTCTTCCCCAACCCTTAAGACAAACATCAGAGTCTAAATTTAAAACATCTTTACGGATAAATTTAAAGAAAACATTTTTATGTCAGTTGATTCATGTCCAGCACAATGTTATGTAAATGACTATGTATTATATTCATATTATATATTGTTAACCAGCGAATTGCATTGCGTTTATTATTTTATTATGTATTTTTGTATGTGCTCATTTCGTAACGATGTGTAAGCCTGCAAGTAGGGGTGTGAGTGTGTGTGTGTGTGTGTGTGTGTGTGTGTGTGTGTGTGTGTGTGTGTGTGAATATTGTTCCTACATATGCATTTATGCAAAGCTCACAGGAGTGGGCGCTATAGAAATGATTTAAATTATTATTAGATTTTAATGTTTTCCTGTGCGCTTAAGAGCGAGAGAAAGAGAGAGAGAGAGAGAGAGAGAGAGAGAGAGAGAGAGAGAGAGAGAGAGAGGGGGGGAGAGAGGGAGGTAGAGAGAGAGGGAGATCAGGCTCTGCCGCTGAGCTTCGACCGTATAGTATAATAGTAGTAGGCCTTCACTTCGAAGATTGTGGTGGGGTGGGTGATTCATGCTGTCAGCGCTCTGTCTGTTTTAGACGAAACCGGAAAGAACTGGTCAACCCGGAAGTTTTTGTTCTCAGGGAACGGTATTTAGAATGTGCGCATGCGTTGGCACTTGGCAGCCATATTGGATGCAAGTCTGAAAGTCTGAACCGTTCTGCTTCAATCTGAGAATCAACAGAATTTTATAGAGTTGAAAGTAACCATTCATAGACATCGGGACTCTTCTCTCAAAGTCCAAAAGGCTTAGAATAAGCCGAAAACCAAGAAAAATGACTGGTCCTGAGGAGGTGCGACAGAACAACGCCAAAAAGTTCATTTCTGGAGTTGTTGAAGGTAAGCCAGTGAGTCGACAGAATTCCGCCATTTCGAATTCGGGTCCGAGCTTAATATGTCTAGGCTAGAGGTATGATATGCCGCATGACCCCCCTGTTGTCGTTCCACTGTCAGCGAGGGCGAGTTTCAAAGGAAAAAGTGAACACGTTTTATATTAGACAGGTTTTCACCTCAACTGGAAGATTAAATTGAGTCAGGGTTCGGTTGGGGGATAGCGGATAGGTCTATCAATAGATTCTAGAATAGGTTGAACAAATTTATGTCGATACCTGTCCGGCTGTCCTCAGACGCTCCTCCCCCCACTCAACTTGCTGAGCAATCCTCAGCTTCTGCAGTCCAGTCCTCAGGCTCAGACTTAACAAAGGTCGGCATTTTGAAGTGAAGGCAAAACTGAAGTGTCAAGTGAACGCTGACCCAATGAAATAACGTTGACTTTGAAATTGAAAGTCTTGTAATCAATGTAGATTCTATTGCCTGACTTGCTTGGACCCACCCATTTCATGCCTTCCCCTCTCCTACTTCCCTGTCACTTTCCTGTCTGTAGGCTAGGGCCTACTTATTTTGTTCTAAAATGATCAGTTGGTGAAAATATTTCTCTTCTTTTCAGGTTTTTATGGAAGGCCTTGGAGTGCTGAACAAAGACGCTTGCTTTTCATATGGTAAGGACACTTTGGGACAGGATATCCTGCAGGGAAGGGTGGCTATTCTCACCCGCCCGGAAGTTCTCGCAAGATCAACTCCTCCCCTCTTCTTTCTCTCTCTGTCTCTTTCTGAATACTGTTTATCGGTGTGGACGATCAAATTGACCAAAACAAAACAAAGTTAAAAAATGATGTTAAAACACAAAAGTAAATTAATTTGGTTGTCTACAAAGATGCTACGGCTATTTAACTTTTCGAATCGAGCCGAACTACGCGGGTCTCCATTTTGTTTTGCCCGAAAATTCTCGCGCTACTCCTCTCTCTCTTTCTCTCTCTCTCTCCACTGCCCACAGACAAAATTGTACGCTTTTAGTAGGCTACAGTTGTAATGGAACGTTTGTTCACGGCACAGAATTCTACAATTTTTCCTCACAGTGTAGAATTCTGTGGTTTAGGGTGAACGCAAAATTTGGTGAACACGCACCGGGTGAGAATAGCCACAAGACTCGCCTGCACTATTCTCACTCCGGGTGAGAATAGAGGTGGCCAAGGACTTCAGTAATGAGCGACCACCCCACATACACAACAGAAGAGACCTAACCCTTACCGCTACCCCTACCTTACCCCCACCCCTACCCTTGCCCTCTATTCTAGAACTACTTTGTCTCATAGTGGTCATTCGTTACGGAAGTCCTCCCACCTATAGGCCTAGTTGTACTAGATCTAGGCCAGGCCAAAATTTTCTCGCAGTATCTATCCGGAGACGACTCAAGATTGAACTTTGGTGGACTCAACACTGAACAAAGCCAGTACTCTTGGGCCTAGCTGTGCAATGGTCCGCTCTTATGTTATTGTTTTGCATTTATGTGTGTTTTTAAAAATTATTATTGTTTCCAGGGGGGCTTGCCCTTTATATAGGGCCTGTGCGCTTCCAGGGTTAAAGTCAGTTTGAAGTACCCGGTGTTTTGTTTGACTTTCACAACCTTTTCACGGCTCGCCACTTCCTGCTTCAAAACCTGTCCTACTTTTGTAATAATCAAATCTGTAATCTCAGGCTGAAGAATGATCTTTTTTAGCAATATGTTGAGATAAGTATTTATGTCCCCTTTATTTCCATATTTATAATACATGTGGCTAATGTTGAAAATAGAATTTAAAAATCTTTAATTTGTCTGATGGTGGGTAGAATCAGAAAATAGATCACAGATAGGCCTATAGGAACGGAGGGCTAAGTGATCTCACAAGATAAGTGATTGTGATGCACAGGTGCAGGACCGGAAGGAAGTAGAGGATGCTCGAACTTGCATATTATATCGGAGTAGAAATACATGGAACCTTTCACTCTACTTCAAATCTTAACCCATAAAGTTGCTACAGTGGTATCTGCCTAATGATCGTAGCAAAAAAAAAAGTCCAAGAGCAATAACATGCATTGATAACGAAGAAAATTGTTTTTTCTTCACTTCAGTTTGTATGATGGGTTGAAATGTGCAGAAACATTGCCTTTTGTCTGCTGGTGGTTGGACGTTTGTGTTTGTCTCACAATCAAAGAGTTAAAGTATAGACCTTGTCACTGTGAGAAGATAGTTTAGCAGATGAATGCTTAAAATAGAGGCTTAGAGTCAGTCCCATTGAGATGTACAGAATAAGTATTAAAATTTATTATCATTGAAAAAAGAAGATGGGAAGCGATAGAGATAGACAGAGAGAAAAAGAGATGAATTTTAAGTAGCCAAAAACCTAGAATCTAGTTCTGTTCCCAGGATTTACCAGGTATGCTCCTTTTCTGATGCTCCATGAGTGACAAATTAATTTCCATAGTCCGTTTGATTTTGAATTGTTAGATTAATTTTCATTTGATTTCTTTCCTATCCTTAACAGGATGCAGAAATCTGGTCTGAACACATACATGTATGCCCCAAAGGATGACTACAAACACAGAGCATATTGGCGAGATTTGTATTCTGTAGAGGAAGCAGGTAATTTTCTCATCTTGATGTAACTGGGCATGGGAGTGTTGTTGATAAGAATTCCGTATAAGTAAGAAATATTAAAGACTTTTTATAGCAATGCCAATCGCCCGCTGCGCCTTGGGCCGGAAATCAGCCTCCGCGCGAGGGGTAATTTTTGGGCCGCTCGGAATCAGAAGTCACTCTCTTTTAAGTATAGTTACGGGAAAACTGGACGAAAATAAATGAAACTCGGCAACCAATCGGAGGGAAGGTTAAACTAACGAAATGCCAGCGTACAGTCCCGAACGATTACTAGAACCGGAGATATTGCCGTGTTTGTGCAATTTCCTCTGCGGTTCGAAAACTAAGCGGAGCTGCGGGTTGATCGCCGACCACACAAGCGCCCCACATGTCTTCTTTATTGCTGTAAAATTTCAGATCTCTGCGTTTAGTAGATTTTACGCACCAACTTAAAATTACCACCCATCCATTGATAAAACACTAGAGCCGGAAACTAGATCACGCATTCCAAACGCGATGTGCCGGCAAGCAAGAGGCGCGTGATCGCTAGGCGGCATGTGATTGGCTGCCTATAACTAAATAGGTCACTGATGACTACATCGCGGGTTTTCCCGATAGCGCTTTACTGAGTTTTAGAAGGGGTGATCGCGTCGCGGTAAAAACGATGTCAGGCAATTCAACAAATTTCACGCAAATATCAGTCTTTAAGATCCAAAGTAATAAAGACATCGAAAAAGTGAAAGCAGAACTAGATTCTGCTCTAAAAATCACATGAAGATGCCAAGTTTCATTCATATGCTCCAATTCATTACTGACTTATGAACAGATTTTCCTCAAAATACATAAAAACATATCCCACATTTTGGCGATTTTTTCCTATATGGAGGTCCTCCAACATTTTGCCAACAAAAATCACAATAACTTTTTATTTATCAATGGATTTTTAAAATTTAAAAACCATAGTTCTTAGAATTTACTCTATTTTCATTTAAGCCCATTTCTAAGCAATTTGGATGAACATTTAATTTTTCATAGTCATTGCTACTTTTAAAAGATATTTATACCAAGACTTTTTTTGCAGTTTTTTGGTTGTTAGGCGGGATATAATGATTTCTAATAAGTGAATAAAATAAGAGTTTGCAAAATGTATTTTGATGTATATTTTTCTTTTTCACAGAAAATTTGTCGTTTTTGATCACTGCTTCCAAAGAAAAGGGTGTCACATTTGTCTACGCCATATCCCCGGGCTTAGACATCTCTTTCTCCAGTACAAAAGATGTTCAAGCTTTGAAAAGGAAGTTGGAGCAGGTAAGGGAGAAAGATGAAGGAAACACATGTTCTTCTTACTTAAACGCTGAGAGTACCTTTTGGTCAACATTTTGCTTGCCATTGAAGCACTTCTTTATGATTTTTTCAAATGTCAAGTCCAGACTGATAAAACGGTAAATATTTTGTTCAGTCTGAAAGTCACTGATCATACTGTTTTGAAATATAAGTGCATTATTTTATTTCCTTTTTTTTGTTTTTGTATATGTAATGATTGATTTTGATATGTGAGTGGAAAGTGATTATTTCCTGAATTCCATCATTGCACTATCTCTTCTCATGTAAGTTGAGAATTTGTAATTACACCGTGATTTTCTTTTTATTTGTCAAAAATGGTATTGCATCATGTTCTTTCACGTTAGAAGGCTAAAGAAACATCTCAAAATGTGTTTGCAAAATAAGAAGGTTATTAAGTACTGGAAACTGGAATAAAATAACAGTTTGAGAAATAACCAATCTGAAATGGCTTGACTAAAAGAATATGCTCAGGACAAGTAAAATACATGATAGCTTCCTTTGTTTCTTAGGATCAGTATATTGTGATTTGAAATTTGTAGCCTTTCTAACTTCTTTTTAGTCTTGCTATAGTAGATTATTCTGTACCTAATGAAATGTGCCTGTTAATGTGCCAACTCATTTAAATTCTACTACTGACGTCTTAACCATCTGTCACCAGCTACTATTTTCTGTAAATGTTTTCCGCTATAGTTGGTGTTAGTTTGTGTTAACCTGTGATATATTTTTACACTTCTCAGGTGGCCACATTTGGATGCGAAGCGTTTGCTGTTCTGTTTGATGACATCGACCCTGAGCTGTCTGAAGCTGACAGGAGCGCATTCCAGTCTTTTGGGTCAGCTCAAGTGTCTGTGTCAAATGAAGTCTTTGAACATCTGAACCAGCCAAAACTGTTTCTGTTTTGCCCAACAGGTGTGGTTTTTTTAGGTTTTATTAGATGCCACTGGCTCTACTATCTAATGCTTTTTTTTTAAAAATTGAAAACTTCGTACTGCTGTAAAAAGTTTGTGAAGTCAGAAGATATAATAGGTAGAGGAATGCCTGTGGTGTGATTAGTGTGTTTTTATATTGTTGCTTTGAATGGAAGAGATGTGTACCTATTTTGTACAAGTATTCCCTTCCCTTCCGGATCTTAAAAATAATCTCTTTGAAAAGCTTCCAATTGTTGGAAAAGATTCTGTCCTCTTCAGTTAGGGATCTTGTATAAATGTATCATGTGTGTTATAAATAATATCATTTTTTCATCACTGATATAATATTGTTTAGGAATTAGTACAGTAGTTCTTTCAACCTTTCTTCCCTTTTTCAATCTTTATATTCTAATTTGAAATGAAAACCCAAAACAGACATGCCTCTTTTGAATATTTTTTTGCTAACCTTAGGACAAAAACATTACTCTTTCAGAATATTGTGCCTCGAGAGCTGTACCAACAGTAGCTACCTCAGAGTATCTGACCACAATTGGATCCAAATTGTTACCTGGTATTGATATTATGTGGACAGGTAAGTAGATAAGAAACTTTGTCCCTTCCTTTTATTTTAAATATTAAAAAAATTTTGACATTTGTTCAGGTGCCAAAACCAGTAGCAGTATTTTTTTTATTTTTACCTGTTCATAAAAGGGTTTATGGAAGTGTTCATTTTACCCTAATTGTTATGTTTATATTTGGTCTGCAGCTGCTCTATTGAATTCTTGACTGTTTCTGAATGTTACTCTTGAAATGTACAGTGTCACAATTAAATGCAGTAAACACAATTTTGAGTTTGGCAGAAATGATGTTGATTATATCTGGAAAGGTGAATCAAATTTCCAGAATTAACTTGCTTTTATAGAAACAAGTCCCCCCCCCCCCCCCCCCCGAGAACTGTAGCAAGTGAACTTTTTTTTCTTTATTCCAAAACATATCAAAAGCAGTTGACTTTCCTTGACAAATTGCAACATGTTCTGTGAGGGCCAGTGAAGTTTTCTCAAGTCATGTGACTTTCCTTGTGGTGGATAAAAGTTTTTTGGGGTTACTTTCTGTTTCGGATTATTGTAATTGTGCTTCAATGTTTTTCTTGTTGAAAGGGTATCACTTTTTGTTTAATTTAAAGGAAAGAGATATGATAGAGATGTTATTTTATGGTTGATGCGGGGGAAAAAGAATAAAGTAGGCCTCGTTATTGATACAAAATAGTCTGAAAGGGAAGTAAACTGTTGTCCTTTACTTGCTGACACGAATAGTTTTACAAAATCATCCAAAGTGTTGGTTTGGCGACCACTGTAATGGCAGTTTATAGTTTATGAATACTGTGGTCACTGCAGCAAACCTTCACTTATCACTATATGCATTGGTCAGAAGGGTGAGGGCCCAGCTGTTGCTGGATCGATAACAGCAACATGAGTACTGTGGTATCATTAATCATTTTTAGGTCAGATCCAGTGTCCCTTTTGGAAATTGATAATACTTTAAATGGATTTTTCTCATTTCTGCAAGCAAAATATGTTGCGTTTTGTGAAAAAAGTGTACAGATCTCATCTATTTAAAGTGAGAATTCAGCCTAGGTTTCATCATTATAATAATAAATTGATATGACGCATTTTATCATGAAACTTCAAATGAATTTGTAAACATGCTTTCTCTTTAGTCATGTTTTGCTGAGAACTGAACTTCTTAAAATTTACAGGGCCAAGAGTTGTCAGCAAACGCCTATCAATTACTTCTCTGGAGGAAATTGCTTCAGTTTTAAAAAGACCCTGTGTCATCTGGGACAACATTCATGCTAATGACTATGATCCAAGACGTATTTTCCTGGGACCATATGATGGACGATCACCAGAAATCATCCCGTATATCAACGGTGTGATGACAAACCCAAACACTGAGTTTGAGGCTAATTTTGTGGCAATCAACACTCTGGGTCAGTGGTGCAAGTCAAATCCAGATGGTGTGAAGAAGGACATTATAAATAGTAAGTTTTACATGTTTTTGTTTTTTTTAAAAGGAAAGGTAGATACTTCTGTGTGTCATTCTTTTGGGTATGCTTGTATGGAGAGGGGCCGAGACTGGAACACTTCAGATGCCTAATGAAGTCGGGAATCCATTGAGATGTGATGTCCTTCATCTCTTCTAAAGGCAGAGATTTTTGCTGCTGCTGCACTGATTATTTGAATATAGATACATACAAATAATTGTTTTTTCTGAAAATAATTACAGAAAAATTAAAGGATTTTTTTTAAAGTACAGGAAATGGTGCCAATAAAGTATGACAACATAGTCTTTCATTGAGCAACTTGTTTTCTCATGAAGAAGATGAAATTCTTTTGGCATTTTAATTTTGAAAACAAAGTAATCAAGCCATTGAAAAACGTAGTGGCTCCCATGAGAAAGGAAGTCCGAACTTGTTTGAAATAAATCTATGAGATCAGAATTCAATATCCCAGTGCCATGTGGTGACAGTGATAAAATAAGATCATAGCAATCCTCCTTTTGCACCATTCATCAGGAATTGAATGGAGCTTACAAAAAAATTGTTTGGGAAGTGTGAAAGAAAATAAAAGTTGCGCTTTGTTTTTATGAAAGATCTGTACTTTAGGTTGCAAATATAACAACAGTAGTGCAGTATTTTATTTTATTTGTGTTTTTCAATATTTCAGATGACAGAATGAGTCCCATTGCATCGGACATCAAATTGGAGACCGAAAGTGATTTCAGTTCGGATGAGGATTTCCCCTCCCGAATTGACTTGCGCTACCAACCAAAGCAAGCCCTGAAAGTGGCAATGGGTGAGTGGCTGTGTGAGATACACTGCCACCGTGAACCTCCCCGTCAGCCATTCCCACGCATCATACCCACATTTCTTCCAACAGGAGTGCCAACAGGGCCTCCAGGGGTTCCCGTTTGTCACCCGCCTGGTCCCCCAGTGATCCTGACTCCGTCCCCCCCTCCCTCCAGTCCACCGGGTGTTCCATCGTGTGCTCCGGGCAACCCGTCTATTCCGCCTGGTGTCGCCCCTTTCCCTACGACAGACCCTCCCACACCCCAGGATATTCCGTCGGCTGCTCAGCCCTGTATGGACCCGTCCGACCTGGATGCTAGCAACGTTCCCCCCGGTGTCCCCTACATGCCTCCGTCTCCTCCTGCTGGACTTCCGCTGCCAGATGTGATAAAAACGTGCATAACGACCTCCTCGACCACGCAGACCATCAGCTCTAGTGGTGTGACCCCCTTACCCTTGCTACAGAGTTCAGCTCAGCCTCCAGAGCCTATCCCAACGTTCCTCCAGCCTCCTAGTCTCCCGGTGAGCAGTCTGTCAGAGATGCCACCCCTGGACTCGTACTCCACATCTACCCCTGAGTGTGGTGCTGAGCCTATGGACGTGGCCATGTCTTGCTCCTCGGACATCACAGATGGGGCACAGGGCTCCCCCAGCGTGGCCTCAATGCCCAACGTAGACGTCAGTGTGTCAGACTCGGATCCTTTACCCAAATTGGAGAAGCAGAATTCCTCGGATAGTTTGATGCAGGTGGAAGGCTCAGAGATGGACAGGAGAGAGGACAATGATCTCAAGGCTGAGTTTGACAATGTGTTCACGGAAGATGATGCTCTCCTCCTGTCTGAATTGTTTTACATGCCTTTTGAGCACGGCAGTCAGGGGCTTTTCCTTCTTCAGAGACTGCATTGGTTAAGGAATAATGCTGCTGCCATCATCAAGAAAGGAAATAAAGAAGCCAACACGTTCGAGGTATTGAATCTTTTTATGGAAGTTTGTTTTTGTGGGTCATACAGTGCAGGTCGCAGTGGTTTTAATAAAATGTTCTTGAATAATATGTGGCATTTTATAAGAATTTAGTGTTTCATTTATTAGCTATTTCATGAGTTAAGTGCCTTAATTTGTCAATAGGAAAGTAGACTTGCTTGTAGATACAATCTTAGATGATATTTATATTTACTTTTAAAAGTCATTGTGACTTGTGATTCTGGTAGTTGTGAAAAGCAGTTGTAGCTTTTATGTAGGCTGGTTGGTCAAATGTTTATATTGTGGACTGTTGGTCAGTGAACTTGGCTTCAATATTTTTCTTTATGGTTTATATAGTTGTTCTTGTTTTGATGATTATTTGTGCTCATTTTCCAGGCCACAGAATGGCATCACCTTGCACAAGAGTTTTCGGACAAAGTCGAAGTGACAGTGGAGCTTCTGAGGAAGCTTGTCAATGGTCCCAACAAATCTTTCATGTGTGATATGTACTCCTATTTGTGGGACTTGGTCAGCATTCTCAAGATTTGCAGAGCTTATGTGCAGTGGCTAGGTATATACTTGACATTGTCTCTTGTTTTGTTACCCGTGTTATTCCTTGAACTGAAAAAATAATGTGTGGATTCGCAGCAACTATGAGGATGAATGGTCTAGTCAGCAACTAAGACTTTGTACTGAGACCTGATTAAATGATTTGGGTGTCCTTTCTGCTTCGTTTGGTCAAGATAAGTTTGTCAGCTGTTTGTTTATTTCTTGGTAGGAGTTTCTAAAACACTTATGTGTTTTGATATTGTGCATCAGTTTAATTCTTTCGAGGCTAACTTGTAAAGTTAAGTTCAGTCAACATATGGACACTTTTTGACCTGGCTGTAAAGTAATTAATCAATACATTAAAAAAAAAAAAAATTGGAGTACCAATATTCTTTCTGTAAATTTGTAATACCCGGTATGCAAAAGTTATGGGAATAACATTTTTTCAAATATTTTGAAAATAATTTTGTGATAACACTTTTTTGTGCCTTAATAACTTTGTTTACCTCAGGTCTCACTTTTACATTTTATGTTACAGCAAAAGGACTCTCCTCTCATCCACTGGCGCAACAGACGTACAGCTGTGTCACATGTAGGCATTTCATGTTTATAAATATATATCTCTGTGTATATACATGTGCTGTTTTTTTCCCAGTTGTGCTGTCCTTGTCAGCAGTTATTTTATTCAACATGTATTAATAATTATAACCATGAATGTGCAGCTTCCATGGAAGTGTCATTTCTAAAACTATTTTGATAATGCGCATTTCCACACAGGTCCTGAGATTTTGACATTAATGATATGTGGACCAGATAAGGGGGTGCAAGCAAGTTAACCAGGTGTTTTTCTGGAAGAGACTGGTGATAATTATTTGTGAGTAAACTGCAGTGCCTCAGTATATTCTGGGATACCATGTCCATGCATTCTATAGGTATTAGATAATTGTTGCACTTTAATTGTTAACTTTAAAAAAAAATCAATTTTTGAAGTGCGAGTTGAGAAGGGGCTGGGTTCCTTCTTAATTCAGTCTTTGGTTTTGTTTTCACCCTTTCCAGGTTCAAAGCTTAGGGGGGGGGGGGGTGTTGGCAAAATAGGGGTACTGGTACATCAGTTTGATCAGTGTCTTGTCTGGAGGTGGGTGACTGCTTTGGCCCTAAGGATTTTGTTTCCTTCTACTTTTTAAACATTGTGACATTTGACTTTGTTTCCCGTAAATTTTGTACTGAAGAGGGCAAGCCTCAATGCTGTTTCAACTGACTGAAAAGAACCTTGTGTTTTGTAATAGTCAAGATATATAAGGACATAAGATTTTCTGCAAATGTAAAGTACAGCATGATTATAAAGACTGGCAGTTGGTTTCTTAGTGTGAAGATAGTGATATTTGCTCTATCTTGATCTCCTTGCATTAAAATTTTTTGGGGGATTTTTTGTGAAAAATGGACGATACCTGTGAGTTCTGTGGCAGTTTTAGGAAAGTTTATATGGACTGGAAGATCTTTTGATCTGTTCAGTTTGCTTTCTTTTAAAAGCTGGTTCACTGGTTTTCTGTTGCTTGTACCCTCTTAAGAATGTTTTAAAAAATTCCTCTCCGAGACTACTAAGTCCTCACAGCTCAACGATCCCACAGAAAGAAGAATTGCAGTTTAGTGCAGCCCCCTCGCTACTTGGCTATATTTCTCATGTGTTGGTAAATGCATTTATTTTCATTTATCACCCTTCACGCCCTCTCAAAAAGTCAAAGCTATTCTTCATCTGTGGATTTCTGAGCTTTTACTTTTAGATGAACATGAATGGTAAGAAACCGATTTGCTACTTCTGTCTATGCCACAGATGTTTTCACAGAAAGTTTGTTTGATGGAAACCTAAGTCTTACCTTCCTTCAGGATGGATTTGACGAGAGTGGTACTGTACAAGCAGTGTCACAGAACCACTTTGTCAGTTTGAATTCCTTTGCCTTTAGAACTGAATGTGTGAAAACTACTTTGTCTTTTGAAACTTGTGCAGTTTTAAACTCTTGTTCGTCATAAGAGAAACAGTGCCGTGAAGAAGTAGCAAGAATGTTTCTAATCACATGTTCTCTATGAAAGCTGCACAATTTAAACAGGTTTCTTTAATGTTCTGTAGAAAAGCCATCAAAGAAATAACTGGTGTTATGTAAGTATTAGACTAAGCAGTTAGTGTTTAGTTGTTGTGTTTTCCTCTTCTGTCATATATAAATTTCCTCCTCCAGTGTTGTTTTGAAGTGGTTGTTACTAAAGTTAGTGTATCCTGCATATTGAGGATGCCATGAAAGATTCTAGACAAGGTAAGGTAAGACTATCACTGATATAAAATAAAACTTTCTGTATTATTTGTACAACCTTTGTAACTAAACTAAGAAAAAAAGATACCTTCTCTGTTTGAAAATCTTCAGACTCTTCACTTATTTGTTAATAAGCTCTTTTGTCTTTCCTGGTGATCACAGGGTTTTCTAAAGGCTATAGGGATGCATTTGTCAGTGGTGATCAAGAGCCATGGGTTTTCAGAGGAGGTCTACAATCTGAATTGCAAGTATGTATATCTGCCACCTGGAATGTATTATTCTGTAATGGTGGGATCGCTGTGCTGGCAACAGACAAGCTGGGATCTTGACACAAGAGCTTCAAAAGAATCTAATATTTTCAGTTATGATGAATTAACTATTGTTTCTTTTATAATGAATTAACTATTTTTTCAGTTACCATGATGAATTAGGAGAACTGACTATACTTTTTCATGTAGCTTTGCTGTGGCCTGGCTGTACCCAGATGGGAGCTCCATCACAATTAATGGCATTCTTTCTTACAGCTGCTGCTCACCGTACATGCACCTGTATCTCAGAAGCCCCCCCTGCCTCATCCCCATTCTTGATAAATATGAAATGTCTTACTTTGTGCTGTAGCAGAAATGATGTACAGAAAAAGCACCGACTTCTTTCTATCAGATGAAAATACACTTATTTTCGAATGATGCATGCACCCTTGATTGGTGGTGTGGAAGCAAAGTGTATTTTCTTGATATCTGTAGAATTCCATTTTACTAGCAGCGTGTGAATTTTGCTAGTAAGGTGGCTGAGTTGTCGATGAATGAGATGATGGCATTTGAAGAGAAATTTATGATGGTAAAAGTCTTTGATTTCTGCATGTCCCTCCTGATGTGGAGACGGGGAAAAATTCGGTCTAAATTTTGCTTTTCATTTATCCTGGCTACGAGACTTGTGATTTTCAAAACCAAATGCTGTTAAAAAAAAGAAAGAAAATGGATTTGTTTACTCAAATGTGCCTTGATTTCCTTTTTGATGCTTAAAAAAAATATGAACCTCCAGATCCTATTTGAGCTGTAGAGACCTCCATTGTGATTTGACAGAACAACGGGCACATTTAAGTGTATGACAAATTCATCTCGGATTGTTTCATAGTAACTGAAATGGGCCGGAAATTTTCCACTTGATTAGAAAAATACTTTCAGTCAGGATAAATGAAGAGATTCATTTGTGATTGGTATCTCTGGTAAAAAGATCATCATTCATTCATCATTTGAGAAGCTTGTTTGTAGACAGGTTCTACCTTTTTTTACCTTTGGTATCTCTTATGTAGGATTTTTTGTCAACTTACCATTCATAAGCTTTCTATAATAAAAATGAAATCAAAACACACTGATTTGAAGATAATCATTTTAGTGCTGTTGGCAATGGACTGAAGATAATAGTCATCTTGAAAATTTATCAGTGTTTTGATTTCATGAGGAGGTGCGTGAATGAGAAAGAAATTTTGTAAGTTGAAAATGATTCCGAGTAAGTTTTTTGTCCACAAACAAGTTTTTCTATTTCTTTATTCACCGAACAACATGACTTACAGCTTGTACCTTTTTCCCCTTAGTCTGTTACCCTTGCCCGTCAGGTGTTGATACAGAAAAAATATTTGATCTTCTGTTGGTACAGAAGGTTCTGTTTGTAAAAAGTGCATCAGTCTCAGGTGTTTGGTGGTCCTCACTGGCCGGATGTAGGCTGTTCTGTTGCTGTTGTTGAACTCTGTACCAGTTCTATTTGAAATTTTTGTAAAGTAGGTGGTTTTTATGGCTTGGAGCTGGTGATTGCCTTGTGTGGAGTAGCTGTTTTTTTTGTTGTAATTTTATCAGTTGTCTTTTGGTTTTGTGCCTGCAATTTAAGTATGGTCATCATCAAATGCCATTCAACCCTGGCACGGTATAGGCCACATACAAGCTCCTTCCATTTATCTCTGTCATGGGCCATTGTTCCAAGTGAGCTTCATTTCTCTTATGTCACTTTCTACACATCTTCTCCATGTTTCCCGTGGCCTACCCCTGCCTTGTGCTCCCTGTGGGTTCCACTGCAGCGACCTGTCTTGTGATGTTTCCGCTGGGCTTTCTGAGGGTGTGTCCCATCTTTCGCCACTTTCTTAGTCCTATTTGTACTTCGATATCCTTTTGTCCTGTCCTTTCCCACTGCTCTTCATTTCTTAATCTTTCCTGCCAGGTAATTCTTAGGATACTCTTCGAATACCTTTTAGTGAAAGTCTGGACTTTATTCAGTACTGTCTTTATATTGTCTTCAAAGTTTCGCAGCCGTATAGAAGTACTGACTTGACATTGGAGTTAAAGAGTCAAATTTTGGTATGCAGAGAGTTGTTGCTTGCTTTCCAGACGTATGATAATGGATTGAATGCTGACCTTGCCTTGGCGGTTTTTGCTTTTACAACTGCCTCAGTTCCACCTTTACCATCGATGACACTTCCAAGGTAGGTAAAGGAGTCATCTTCTTCCAGAGGAGTGTCTTCCACTGTCACAGCAGGGCTTGAAACTTTTCCTAGCTTAACTACTTTCGACTTGCCTGAGGAATACGTAGGTCACCACTCCTTGATAGGCTGTTGAGCTCCTTGGTCTTTTCTTGCATCTGAGCATGTTTGTGGGAGAGCAGTGCAGGGTGATCGGCAAAGTCCAAGTATGGTATTTGACAAAAAAAAATTAATGAATGTCACTAAGTGGGATTGTCGTTGTGTAAAAACATGTTCTGAGTTTGGAAAGTAGTGTTGTCTTTTGTGTACGGAATGTTTGAATTTGATGAAAAGTGTTGTCACAACTGGTCTTATTTATGAGAAGGTGGATCAATTTGAAGATTGGAGTTAGGGTAAGTTCTCTGCCGTGTCTGTTGTTGCTTTTGTGCTCAGGGTAGATTTTGCCCTCATCAACTGATGTGAAACATCATGGGTTCAAATGCAGTTCAGTTTTTCTCTGCAGGTTATAGTTTCTTTGATGATGTATCACATTGAGAGGAGCTGAGGCTGCAATCCAGATTTTTTTCTTCTGAAAAAAGTAGAAAGGAAAACCAAATATTGTTTGTTTCTTGGGGGGCTTGACGACAGGCGAGTGTGAAAGCATAATTCATGTTGGGAAAAAATTATAGACTTTTTTTTTTTGAACAGATGTTAATTTGTGTAGATCTGAGTGATAAAAATGTTACTAAGAAAAAGAGGTTTCAGAACAACGGTTACAAAAATATTTTAATGACCCTGAAGTAAGAAAGAAGGCTAAGTATGACCCAGTCAAAAGATGACTATTGCAGAAGTAATGGAAGAGATTGCGTACCCACTTTTCTTACGTGCAGTCTGTAAGCCCAATGTCGGAATTGGTTGTATTTTGTAAGACTCAAGGAAGCAGAAGTTCAGAGAACTCAAATGGTGTTATAAAAGTAAAAATGTAGGAACTTGACATATTACTGAGCTGACGATAGATGGTGCAATCACCATGAGTTTGTCAGTGGGGTGAATGGAGAAAGTAATAAACACAGTGCTTGTTGTATTGCTGCAGGTTTTGACCGGTCATTCTCTATAAAGGAATGATGCCAGGCTTTCTTGGGTGTTGTATGCAGTCGGTTGCAGTTGTCAGCTTCCTACATTGGCGGCTTATCAGGAAATTCTATGTTTGTCTTTAGAGTGAATGCCTTTTGAGTTGTGTATTATAAAATCTATGCTTTCTTATGGTTGCAAGTTTGTTTTGGCTTTCTGTTGCAAAGTTGACGGTCATTTGTTTTAATGATACTTTCTGCACAAGAGTTTGAGGGAATCCAGATTGTTATGACATGGACTTTTAACGAGGAAAAAGATTTCGGATCTTAAGTTTTGGATTTGGTCTGCATGAAATAAGACAATTAATCGAAGCATGCTAGCTTTTATGCTACACTGATATTCGTGTTACTGGCTTTAAGAAACGTGGTCTGAATGCTTTTGTTTTTTGGGGGTCAATTCATCAAAATAGTTATTGTTGTAAGAAAATATTTTGAGTTACTTAGTATTAATGTTGCTGCATTCGATATATCTTCTGGGTCTAGTTGTTTTCCCCCCCTATGAACAGTGATAAAACGAGAGAGATATTCAACTTGCCTGACCGCTTGTATTTGAATTTGCCTGTGCAGGAAGGCCACAGAAAAGCATGCAGTTTGTTGGAAACCTTTTCTCATTGCAACGTGTGTATTGATGGTAAAGCAATCAGTTTGGTTTGAGGTCCATTTTGCTTTACAAAAATGTCTTGCTCTCACTTGGAACAGCAGTAATCCCAGTATTGTGTCTTCATGTGGATGATTTGAAAACTTGATGGAAGGGGTGAGTTTGTTGTTGAACCAGTCCAGAGTATGGTTGAACTTTGAATGCTGAATACACTGTGTATGCCCCAAGAGGATGACCTGTCATGGAAGGAATTTCAATTTTGCTGGTGGAAAATATGTCAGTCCGACATCCTGAGACTATGCACAGTCAAACACACTTTTAACTACAAGTTTCACATAGTTTGACCAAGACTAAGGGGAAAGTCTGCTTCCAAAATGTCTGTTAGAGTCCCCAGGCCTGAGATATGGGTGCTGTGCTGTGGACAGTGGTTGATGGAGGTGCCATCTGACTGGGTTCTGCCTCTTATTGGTAGGATTTTTACTTTACTAAACTTAAAACATTAACTTGTTTGACCATCCCTTTCAGGAATGTATAATTTTTTGTTACCTGTGCCATTTATGCTTCTTCATTCAGTGATTTCCCCTTTTTTCCAGCGCCTTTTACCTATTGATAGTGCACACGACCTTTTTTATATCAAGCCACCAGACTACATAGTGACCAAGTCATTCAGTCTGAGACCATACAAGCCTGAGGACGAGGTAACGTAGGAAGGGGAACTCTTCATGCTTTTCTCCTACTTCAGTTTTAGTGGCTCTGTGGTTTAAACTGGACTTTCAATGATTCGAGCAAGTCAACAGTTTCAAAAAAAAAAAAATGAAATGAAAACATCAGATGTGTCTTCAAAAGGCCTTATGATAAATCATGAACTTGTGCTGGGCTAGAAGAAGGTATCACTTGCTTTAAAACCTTGAAAATGTTGATCATGGCACAGGACAATGCTGGGGGTCATTCGTAGTAAATTGCTGAGGTCTTAAAAAAAGGTTTGGTTTAGGTGGTTCCCTGTTAAAATTTGAAGCCAGGCTGGTGTTGCAAGTCCTGTTGTTTGTTTGAAATATTGCCTAGTTTGATGACCCCATTCTGAGGAAAAGAACCGCCCCATTCCCCTTGTTGAAATCTATTTCTCCACCTTCATGATCTTTCTTAATCCAACTCAAAAACGCTTGGCTGTTTCATGTGTCAGTTCACACATAAACTGATCAAGCTACAAATCAAGAAGTCCGTTGTCCTGTGACAAACCAGAGAGCCTTGCCTTCTATCTGTCCAGTACAGGACAGCGCTGTCTGTGAACAATTGGCCTTACTCACCCTGCACATCACTCTTGTTAATCCAGCAGACGGTGGATAACTCCCTTAATGAATCCTGGTTATTTTTAATCACCCATCCACCTTAACCTGAACATCTTTTGGTATTTAAAAAAATTATGAATGAATGAATCAGTTAACACATTATATCTTAACTCGCCCGGAATCGACCGATCTGACCAGGTGTCTTTAGAAATGAAGTCTCGCCTGAACGAGACTCTGGGGCCGAGATTTTGTTTTACATAGTTATTGCAAAATGTTTCATTCTTCCATTTTGGTACTGAAACGAAAATTTGCGGGTTAATAGTTTTAATATTAGAGCTGATCGAAGTGTGATCACGTCTCTGACACTTCGAAGGTGTCTCGACTTGTTGGAAAGCAACATGATTGAGTTTGAAAAAGAAAATAATGATGAATTTGAGCAAGATCAAGCAAATGACAAATCAGATGAATATGTTGTAGGAAGAGTTTCTGTCAATTCAGATTAATCAGATGAAGAATTTAGATCTAGGGTCCGACCGCGAGGCTGAAGTGAGAGTGATGGGTTGGACACCCTGATTGAATGAAATTAAGACTTTTCCAACAATTTGTGCACACATAAAGTTATATTTTTATGAAAGTACATTTATTTCTCTTTGTAATTTTTATTTTTTCCGGATTTTGGGGAATTTGTTTAGTAGTATTTTTAAAATATGTTTTTTAAACGCTTGTATTCACGGGAGGTGGGTTCCTTCACCTTGCTTAGGACTGGGATGTAGACTTCCCATCCAGATCCTTGAATTTCATTGGGGTAGTGTTTGTGTAAAGATCTGAAATTTGTGACAGTGTCGTGGATGTGTTTGTATTTGGGGTGAAGAATAGTTTTATCGTCTTACTTTGGGAAAAAAATGTAAATTGGGTTCTGATAATATTGAGGGTTCGACGCTAAACCTCTGTCCAGTTATTAGGAGCAGGTTAAATGAGTCAACTGGTGGCACTGGCAGCTTACAATTTGCTTCCATTTCCCTGATCTCTGTCAGTCTGTCTTCCTTTTCAGTGCTTTATATGACTTTTAATGTGTCAATATATTTAATTAAAAGTCAGACTATCTGAGTTTGCAATGTTGTAGAGGGTGGTGGAACTCTCCAAATGTTTTCTGTGGCAGTAGTTGGGTGTTCCTGAAGTTGGGGATGGGAGGAAGAAAATCCGCGTCTGTCTTTCCTCATCAGCAGTTTGGCTTGATTTGTGTACTGACACAGTAGATCAGCAGAGTGGCATTGCTTTGTGACATAAAAATGTAACTGTGACCTCTGTCCATAGGATGCCTTGTACCTTGTCTGCCTGAAAACCTGTGATGATGGCATGGATGGTACAGATGTGTTCCCGGACTACCCTCGGCTCATGGGAGACAAGTATGTTTTCTCGAACACATGCACGGATGTGTCAAATGGCTCATCTTAAAAAGCTCGGTTAAATTTTTCTGTACTATTATCTGGAATTCAAATCGCCCTGTATGCACGATGGGAAGCAAACTCGCCCATCATCATCAAGAGTATGGGGGGGGGGGGGGGGGGGGGGGGGTTACATGAGCCCACCAGGCTGGGCCCCCACACAGTGTGATATGTTGGTGCTATCGAGACATGTCGTCGCACGTAACCTGTCGTGTGTGAGGTACTAGAACTTCCTTGAATCTAGTCGTGACGGGGTGGGTGCAGAGCGATGGGTTGTGATCAAAGACAATGTGGCGCTGCATAGGGCAGAGGTTGACAAGATGTCCTGTACCGAGACTGAAATTAGTAAGATTTGGTATTCATAGATCAGCCCTTTTGTTTCCAAAAACAAAAATGCCAGAAACCATGTCATTGTTATTTTAGGTGTTCACAGGTTGCTAGAATTACAAATGAAACTCATTTGTCACCACCCCCCTGTTCAGGATATCTGTGCTCAACTAAATCTTGGGTGGATTGTGTCTATGAAGGAAAAAAAGTGCCAGTAAATTATTCTGTCATAGGAGTTATTTTTGAGTGTTGATACAGGGGTAAATCACAATTTGTGAACCTAGAGGAATTTGAGGTACTTTCATCGTCTCCTTGTTTTGTCTGCACAGTGAAGTTGAATTTTGTTATGGTACAATCAGATATTGAGATTTTACTGAATACCCCCTTTTCTACAGTGTATATAGCCTATGTATTGTGGCACTGTAGTGTTGACAAAAGATAACGCATTGTGACATGAATTTTTGTTTTTACCACATTGATTGAGGTTTTAATTAAGTTTTCTTTGGTTGTTGCAGGCTGCTTGGAAAGATGTTGACCCTCAGCCCAGACTTAGGGTTTGTCATAGAGGATGATGTTGGTGTGTGTGGATACGTTGTGATGTCTCTCGATGCTAAAGAGTTGGCCAAAAAGGGCCAGATGGCATGGATTCCTGCCATGTGTGAAAAATACCCATTGCCAGAGAAGAAAGACAGTACTTCTCCTGCAGAGGTAAGGATCTATGACATTTAATATTGTAAAGAAAATCTGTTTTTGTCTTGCAGTTTTCTGCATAGCTGCTTTGTCTGGGGACTTGTTGTGCTGCATTGCCCCAATATGCTTGTTACTGTTCCCATATTGGGAGATGGCCTGGGGCTCTTGTAAACTCTTTCATTGAAATGTAAGTGTTGAGATGCCCTGTGGGGAATCCAACCGAAACATAGAATAGATTTATTTGGGAATAGAAACTGAAGTGAACAAGCCAGGAAAAAAGTCAAGTTGAAGTCTCTCTTTGGAACTATTTTGACTAGCGATGCTCATCTGTAGGCTCCACTCTCTGCAGCCAACATTTGGGTAGCCATGAGGTTGTGTGTGAAAGATGATTTACTTTTACTTACTTTAAGAAAGAAGATCTCAATTAGACCTCTGAAGTTGGTTTAGTTAGTTTAAGAGCTCATTCAGCTTTTGCAATTGTAGTTTGCTACATAATGGTTCTGATCATTTAAAATGTATATGCCCCTCCCTAGACTGCATATGTTTGAGTGTGGATGGCCATCGATGTCCAACACGCCAACCAAATCTAAAAGTAGAGTACTTGGGTTCCCACCATGTCTGTTCATAGGATATAAGGCCTTGTATCATGTGTGACTAACAGGTAGAAGCTCTCAAGATCTATTGAGCGACTTAAATTCAGATCCAGGTTCATAGTACTTTTTATCCGTCTTCAGTAGACTGTTTTGCAGACTCTACCACTATTCGACTATTTCCATTGTTAATGAAAACAAATGTAGCAGAGAGATTGAAGCCTAATGTGTTTGTGTGGTGTGTTGTCCCCAGGAGGTGATCCAAAGCTTCCACTGTGACCAGCCGATGGTGCCGGAGGAGGTGTACACACTGTACCCGTCGGTGCTGCGTCTGGACATCCTGCCCACCCGTGTGGAGGACCCAGCCATCCCCAGGCGTCTGCTGGCCTGTGCTCTGTCTGCCTTGAAGAGCTGTGGCTCTAAGGGGGCCCACTGCGTGCTCAGCGTGGGTGACAAATTCATGGTGGACTTTTACTCCAAGCTGGGCTTCTTCCCCGTGTCTGCCGTGGACAAGCCTGGGGATGATGTCTATTTGGGTCGGCCGGTGTAGTAGCCCGCCACCTCCCAGTCTCTCCTGTTGTTACTGTGATTTGTGACTGGTCAGTTCCCACCTGTATGTTGATGTGTCCTGGCGGCACGGCTTCACTGTGACCGCTCGCCACATCTGTTATTGTTGGCTGTGAATGAGATTTACTTTCCATTTCATAATCCATCCAAAGTACTGGTGTGAAAGTGGTCTTGCACATTAATGAAAATTAAAACCCCCATAATGGGTGGTTGGCGGGTGCTCTGGTGTGGTTTGCTCCTTCTTTCCTATAAAAAATCTATCGTCTCTATCTCCCCTCCTTCTTTTTTATGTTTGTTACTCTCTTGTAACACCTCTAATCTTTGGCACTTATCTGACCTTATAGTGTTGCAAGTACCGTAACACTCTTACTTAAACTTTAAAAAACCCCATATGATGGATGAATTTTTGCTAAGAAGAATCGTTGCCATATTTATCAGAGCTGGAAGTTGTGTACAGGTTGAGTTGTAGTGTTGTTAACGAGCCCTAGAGCTCGTAATTGTTGTACTGAAGTGTAAAGATATTAACAAGGGCAATCAAATCCATCTTCTTACAAAGTATTGAGATAAAACAGTCGATTTATACATGATGCTATATTTTCATTAAATTGTTGAATCTCATGTTTCATATTGCTGCTTCCATGCTATGTGTGAATATTGAATCTCCCCAACCCCTGCTTTATAGTATTTGCATCGAATTTGTCAATTACCGAACTACTGCAAATGTGGTCTGTTTGCAAGTGAGCACAAGTGGTTGAACTGTTGTCTGAATCATGTGTGGTGCAAGAACAAAATGGTAGCATAACTTGAGAAGCTAAAATTGGTTGTTAACACATTACACCTTGAGGGTCTGGACAGGAAGTCCATTCCTAGATCCTAAGGAAGGGAAAGGAACCCACTTCCAGTGAATACAAGCGTTTAAAAAGCACATTAAAAAAATACCCCCCAAAAATTCCGAAAATCCTGAAAAAAATAAAAGAACGAGAAATGAAGTTGGAAATGTTCTAACTTTAGTTCAAGCGGGGTGTCTGATCGGTCACTGTCACTCTGTCTTCCGGTTGGGCCCTAGATATAATGTCTACTTCTGATCAATCTGAATTGTCCCAAACTATTGCTACGTTTTCATCAATATCTGATTCATCTACTTTGTCACATGCTTGTTCTTCCTCAAATCCATTGTATTTCCTTTTTCAACGAGTCAAAGACACCTTCGAAGTGTTGGAAACGGCCTGAAAATTTTCTTTTTGGTATCAAACAGAAGAAGAAACGTTTTGCAATAACTATGTAAAACAAAATGTTGGCCCTAGATTCTCGCCAAGGCGATACTTTGTTCTCAGACCCCTGATCGGAGCGGGTGATTCCGGGTGTAATGTGTTAACATGCTTTTGTTTTGTTTGCCATGCTAAGACACGTGCATATGATGGGTAAGAGGTGCTTTATGTTCTCCCCATGTTTCACCTATGAATTCATGTATAGGCCATTGCTGTTGGCGGGATCACAAGCTCATGTCCAAAGAACTTGTCCTCTGTGGACGTGGTAGGTGCTCAGGTTAGAGTGATAAAAGTGTTCAGGTGTTCCTTGATAGCTTCTCATGACCCTCTCTGCCTCCACTGGTGCATGTGTGACATGATGCCCTCTGCCTTGTGCTAGACCACAACTCAACTACGCCTCCTGACCCCCTCCCCCAGTTTGCCTATTAAGTTGTCTTTCTCAGAACTGCAAGGTTCTCCTGTCTAACAATGATATATTATCATCAGCAATACAACAACAGAAAAGCAACCCTTGAGGGATGACGGGGCATACCCTGCTTGTTTCTTGTCCATACAAGTGGGTCAGTGTGTGCATAGTATGTAGTGTTGATCAAATAAAAGTCCACATTGCTGCCAAGATCATGTCCTATGTTGTGAAGTTTTGTTCGTGTAACTCTTTGTTTAGGGTGTGGCAGGTGCTTTGTTGTGGTTTGCTTCTTTTTTCCTATGAAACGTCTATCATCCTTATCTCCCCTTCTTTTTTATGTTTGTTACTCTCTTGTAACACGTGTAATCTTCTGGCGCTCATATGACCTTGTGCAGATGAGAGCGCCGTAAAACCTACTAAAACTAAACTAAGGAATCCTGCAGGAAATGGTAGACCCCTCATGGTTTTTATCAAATTTTGATGAAATTAATTTTTGGGAAAGCAGCCTTTTCACTAGAATCCTTTTTAATATTACTGAATCTGATTCTATGGTCCATTCTTTCTTTAAAATGTGCTAAAATTATGTGGGAAAATATGTAGGTTGGTGTTTTTATGCTCCCATTGACAAAATTTAGATCATGTAGGAGGCGGGCCTCCGATCCTGCCTGTTGGGGCCAACCTGGGGAGAGGGATACATCTCGGCAGAAAGACCCGAGATTCTCGATAATAATTTTCTCTTGAATTGAACTCGGGAGTCCCCAGTGGGCGACAGCAAAGTGCCCTTCAGCTATACCAGATGCTGGTTGAAAATGTTCTCAATGAAACAAAACTAACCATAAAATAGCATCGTGATACAATGTATTTTTGATTCACTCGCTGCTGGAGTCCTGACTCGGATCAGTATTGCCAGGTCAGAGGTACACTTAGTGAACTGCCCCTGATGTCGTCATATTGTGCTGATGCACTGGTTGTAGGCATGTCTTTAACGCTAACCGTACGCCCTGGGGTCATTTTGTACCCCCGGGGTTGTATTCTTCACATTTTAGAATACTTCTAGTATGAAGATCTCTTTGAAACTTTCAGTATTTCTCAAAAAATCATTTTGACAGACTGCTATGCAAAGTGCACGGATCGGATTAATAAACAAGTAGATTACCTCTTTGAAAGTGGTGGCACAGAGTTCCCCACGTCGCATGGATTATAATGGATACGATAGTAAAACATGACGTACAGATTGGGTTAATTAAGTGACTTACAGTACATGTGCTGATTTTTATTTGTTTCCTGATCAGGTGTTTGAATAGATCCAGAAATTTTATATTTTCTAGGACTAGGTCTATCACCTTTTGGGCGTGGGACTAGATGGATGTTCAAATTCACCATATAAGATAAGGAGAGCCACCACTTGATCGAATCATTGTCCCAAGATCAAGATCATCGGCTTCTGTCGACAGTGATCTACCTCGTCTTCTCATTTTAAATCGGGTCAACGTTTTTATCATTTTGCACTTTTTAAATATCGCTTCTATGAATCGTATGGATTCGTGATCTCAAAGATATTACGAGCTATTTCAACTGATAGCCGATTTCAGCACAATGTACATCTCTGCTCTTCAGATGATCAAACAGAATCCGAAATAGTGCAGAGGGCAATTCGAGGGATATTCTGATCATCAGATGATCAAACAGAATCCGAAATAGTGCAGAGGGCAATTCGAGGGATATTCTGATCATCAGATGATCAAACAGAATCCGAAATAGTGCAGAGGGCAATTCGAGGGATATTCTGATCATACGAAACTGTTCCTAGTGATCAAAGGGACCTTGCTTTAGTAATTGTGGCATTCACTATACATGTTATAATGTGTTTGCTATAAGTAGAAGAAAAGAGGAATATTCACGACAGACTGTTGAGGTCATAGCAGCAAGTGGTTGGACTGATCGACCGACACAGGCCATGGCAGTGAGTAAAATGTTGTTTTTTTGAGACCCTTCGTCACTAGACCTGGTAGAAGTACATGAAGAAGGCTCAGGGGGAGTGATGCAGTATTAACTCAACAGTCGAATTCCGCCAGCATTCGAAAGAGCAAAAGCAGCCATTTGTTTTCACTCGAGTCTGCATTAATGCGTTAAAGATTAAAATACATTTTTGCGCTTAATCAAACGTAGAAAAATTTTTAATGTACAGTTTGGAAGGGATAACAAATACAATAATGTACTGAAAACTTGAAATCACGGATAGCTTGTAGCTTGTACAATTTGCCATTCCCTGATTGATGTCTCTTTACTTTTTCGTTACAAATGTATAGAGTTAACCCAAATTAGGATGTGTCGAACACTTTTGTCAATCTTCTATTTAGTATTTGTTTGAGTTGTCCCTGCCCGACAGTAGGTGTTTAGTTTTTGATTGCATACACACCCACATCGACAAATTTTTGATCAGATTGGAGGCAGGCTTTGGTTCTGGGTCTCGGAGCCAACCCGGCCAAGAGAGATTAAATTATATACAATGTAATACATACGTGTATCCAAACAGACAGACCAAAATTCTTGATAAATATTCTCTCCACCCAGGAATCAAATTTGATTCTCTTGCATGCGTTGGCGAAGCGCCAAACTGCTAGATCTACTCCAAAGATGCTAGTCATCACTTCTGATCAGAAGGAAAATCATGGTTTCAAATACATAATTACATGTATATATATATATACAGAGAAAATACACAGAACTAGCTGCTTTTGAAATTAGTTACAGGGAACATTCTGTAATATGCCACATTCAACTGATTGAACTCGACAGAGAATTAAGACCGTCTCTTGTGCTGCAGTTAAGTGCCTTTTTGGTCGCATTCAGGAGACCCAAGTAGGGAGAAATTTTTATCAAGTGTCTTGGACTTTCAGTTTTCAGCTGGGATACCGGACATTTTATCCCTCAGCCTGGGTTGGCCCCAACAGACAGGGTCGAAAGCCCACCCATAAATCATCTGATTTGGATTGATTAAAAAAAAAAATACCAACAGAATTTTTCACACATTTTTCTGAGTTCTGAGATTTATAGAGGGAAATTAATATTAATAGTTAATAGCCTACTGTTCAACAGAGCATCATGTATAAACTGCTTTTATAGTTATAGGCCCAGGATAAGTGTAGGAAAATAGTACTTGTCTCACACATTGGATCAAAATCAAAGGTAATTACACGTCTTAAGTCTAACCAGAAAATTGAATCTTTTCATCTCTTTGTTGAGTAAATTACAATGTTAGTTAAACATGGTTGGCAGGTGTTCTTGTGTGGTTTGCTTCTTCTTTCCCATCAAACATCTATCAACTATCGTCCTTATCTGATCTCCACTCCTTCCTTTTGTTTGTTATTCTCTAATCTTTGGCAGTCTTATTTGACCTTATTGTGTTGCAGGTGCGGTAAAACTCTTACTAAATATTAAAAACTATAGACGTTCATGGATTACTGTAAAAAAACCCAACCTCCCTGGAATCTGGTTCTCCCAAGCTATACATATATATACTGTTTGGATCCCATCATCTGATAACATCCTGTGGCATCAACCTAGTAATGCAGTGGGTCCCCAGACACTCAGACATACCTGGAAATGACAGAGCAGACACACTTGAAAAACAGGGATCTAGACAGGAACAACACAACACTCCAACTTCATACATGTACAACACTGCAAAACAAATCATCAAAAGCAACAACAAACAAGATTGGATGAACAGATGGGCCCTTGGAAAGACAGGCAGAGCAGTTTTCAAACATATGACCACAACAAAAAGGAATGACAATATCAATCGCCTTCAGAGAAAGAAACAGACCACGATCTTCCGCCTACTAACAGAACATACACAGATCAACATCCACCTGAACAGAATAAACCCGGAACTTCCCCCAATGTGTCCCTTGTGTGACAATGCATATGAGACAGTGGAGCATCACCTGTTCCACTGCACAGCCCTAAATGACATCAGAGCTACCCTTCTCCCTCCGAGATCAAACATTGACAACACACTCTATGGAACATTACAGCAACTGCAGCAAACCTGCACTTATCACTACATGGCATTGGACAGAAGGGCGAGAGCCCAGCTGTTGCTGGATCGATAACAATAATAACAAGTACAAGTTTGTATGACCAAAACATGGGAGCACAGGAGGAGCTGTTGTCTCTTTTCTTTTAGTTTTAGTTTAGTTTAGTAGAGGTTTTACGGCGCTCACAACTGCATAAGGTCATATGAGAGCCAGAAGATTAGAGGTGTCACAAGAGAGTAACAAACATAAAAAAGAAGAAGGGGAGATAAGGGCGATAGATGTTTGATAGGAAAGAAGAAGCAAACCACACCAGAGCACCCGCCAACCACCCACCTCTTTTCTTTGAAAAAAGCTCCCGTTCATCAATCCTTGTGTGCCCAGAGATCATGAGTTTGTCTTGAACTACTCTAAAGACCAAACTAATGATATGGAGACATGGAAAAGACACAGTGTATTTTGTTTCAGTAAGTTTTACGGCACTTGCAACACAATAAGATCATATTCATATAAGTGCCAAATATTAAAGGTGTTACAAGAGAGTTTCAAACAAAAAAAAAGATGGAGGAGGGCGGTGAAGGACAATAGAAGTTTGATAAGAAAGAAGGAGCAAACCATACCAGAGCACCCACCAACCACCCACAGGCATCATGTTGAACCGACCATTCAACACCATAAGTCTGACTTCATAATATTGTGAGATAGGCCTACAGTACTGGTACTGGGAAGGGACATAGCAGCAACGAGGGAGGCGCATGATTTTTTCATTATAGTTAAAATTTATTTTTGCATTTAAAATGTGCAAAATGTTTGTGAATGTACAATACAATAATTAACAATATATGGAGAACTAAAATGTCATTAAGCAAACCATTGTCACTTTTTGTTACATTACATCATAACTCACAGTCACAGACACGGACCACAGAGAAAGCTAATGTAAAGACAGGATACAAGAGGAAAAGGGGGAAAACAGTATTCCTATAAGTAAGAGCAAAATATGGTGACATGAGACAAAATCTATGTTCTTTGTGAGTGTAAGGAAGAATATGATCTTAGAGAGAATGAGCCACGAACATGCCTTGAAAACGTCCACCCTAGGGCATTCCTAAAAAAAAAAAAGGATTGGATACTCAGGAGAGAACAGCCAAATCAGAACTCCAAACTGGATGTTGCCACACACAGCAGGAAAATCCTTTCCATTTCAGACCATTTAGTTCAGGAACATTTACTAAAATGTTCACAAACACACAGTCAAACTTGGATAGGACAGATGGGACCGGCAGTTTTATCCTGTTACAAGTGAGTCCTGTGTTATAACCGTTATCAAGGGGAACTACCAGTACCGTTGTACAGATCCTTTTCCAGACGGAATCGATCAGTGACCCCAACACTATGAAGGGGTATGTGTTTGAAAGTTTGTGTTCAGGCAAGCAATCATACAAACAGACGAAATATCTTGGTTGAGACAAATTTTAATAATTTGATGGATCAAAAGCAAGTTCATGTGCTGCAAGATGGTGTGAAACAAAAATAAACAAACTTTGTATTAATGATCACTAAGTTAGACTCACTCCACATTTTGTGGCGTCGGTGGCCTAGTGGTTAGGCTCTCGGACTCTCAACCGTAAGGTCGTGGGTTCGAATCCCGTCAAGGGCCCGACGTTGTGTCCTTGGGAAAGGCACTTTACACAAATTTTCCTCACTTCACCCAGGTGGGAATGGGTACCCGGCTATAGACAGCGAAAGATTTTGTCAGTTTGTTAGTGTTTGAGCGCTTAATCGGCTGCTTGCACTGTATGCTTCCCGGGAAGCTGAGAATGTTTCGGAGTGTTCTATGGTCTGCTGGGGTAATAATATAGTGTAAAGCGCATAGAGCCTGCTGCTGAGCAGGGATATGCGCTATACAAATGCTATCTATTATTATTATTAAGATCACGGTTATTATACTTATATCCGAGTCTGTGCAAATTGAACCCCATTATAGCCAGGTTTCATACATTACTTATTATAGAGAACCCCCCCCCCCAGGAATTTGATTTATCACTGTTATCTAAGTTCCTGTAATAACAGAGGCTGTTATAAATGGACTGGACTGTGAACTAAATAAAGGTAATTTAGTACCCACCCGAAGAGAGTAAAGAAATAAGACCCACAGGAGGCATTCTTCAACCACCCACAAAAAGATACCAAATGTTGTTTTGAGTAATATCACACCAGTATTGTCAGTGGCAATAGACCTAACATAGCACTAATGGTCAGCCTGTGTGGAATATCAAAATGAGACCAGTCTGAGTCCTGTAAAAGTAAAATAAGGTGTAGCAGAGAGAAGAGAGGCATTGGATGAAGAAAGAAACAGAGACCAGGAAAAATACAGTACAAGTACCAAGACCAAATGTGTCAAAATTCCAACTTCATAAAAATGACTATACTTATAAACTTATAATCATTATTAATTTTTATTTCAGTGACTGGTATAATAAACTTTTCACCCCCTACTGTCTAATCAATTCTTCCTTCAGTACCTGAAAAGACAGAACCTCAAATCATGAAACAGTCATCTCATACAAAGTAAAAGCAGAAAAATGACACTTGGCGAACGCGTACAATGATCTTTGACAAACAAAATATTTATACCATACTAATATTTGGGCACAATAAACAATGGTTTAAATGAATAACTGGCTTGTAAATAAAATTTGAGTAGAACTGTAAATCAACAATAGTCTGTCAACCAGACATGGATCAGTCAGTTGTATTCTTCAATCTGTGGAGGAGAAAAAAGTAAAACAAATTATCCAAACATGACACGAGTTCTATACTGAATCCAAAATGTCATTACTGATACAATACTACTACTACTAATAGCTTGTCCATCAATGTCTGACTATGACCAATACATTTGCAGAGGAAAATATGCTTTTCTCCAACAAAAAAGAATTGGAAGAATTAAAGGTCAAGAAGGTCAAGATGACTAGTGGCTTTTGCTGTGGTCAATGAGACCAATCGGGCAGAGAAAAGTTCGCCACATTTAAAAGCTCCATTACCACTTGTGGATGGGCTCAGGTTGCGAGGTTGCATCCAAAATTTAATTACTACAGCCACAGCAAGGAACTTTTAAGTTGTGTAAAGGTTCCTCACTTGTCATTAGTAAGTGTTGACAAACCATGAGAAGCCGAACACAGCAGACGGCATTGCTTTGTTGATCTGCCGTGCAGATTTCTGTTTACCTGGACACCACTGTCTTTTATTCACAACACGGTTCAACCTCCCATTAAGTTCAGTCAGAGAATGGAGTTGAGAGATAACATAGCTTTAACGTTTCATACTAAATTTAGGCCGGGCCACGCTAGCTCACTCGCAGAGATAGGCCAAGCAAGGCCGATATGTGAGGCTAGACTTTGGTAACATAAGCAGAGAAAGAATTTTTAAAAAAAGAAAGAAAAAAATCAAGTACTGAAAAAAGGTAGGGTCAGGGAAAATTGTGGGTAGCACAAATCTGAGAAGAACAAAAACATTCTTTACCCGTTAAGGAATGAATTAACATCACAATATCCTCTCTCTCGTGCCAGATGAATGAGAATTCCTGTGGAAGCCTTGCCATTTTTTCTTCGACAGAAACTGCAGTTGCAGATCTTTCTACATGGTGGACAAACCCAGTCCTGAAACAAACCAAAAGGAGGCACATCAAAGGCAATAATAAAATTTTCAGTGGCCAACTCCAGTAACTATACAGGAGAAGCTGTACGGGTCAGCACAGGAAATAAATATGACGGCTCAGTATATACCACAGATACCCATTCTTCGAGTGTTGTTACATAGAAAAGAAAAAGAAAAGGACGCATGTAAGTGTGCCCCGAGAAAGGTCCCAAGTTGTCAGCAGAGATGTTTTTAAGCAAGAATGTGAAAAGGCAAGAAAAGTGTCATGTCGTTGAAAATATAGTTCCTTGAGAAAAAGTGCTAGCTTGGCCATTCCTGAATTATGCATTAAAATGATTTTCCTCCAAAACAGTGAATTTATATTTTTTACTTTAAAAAATATTTTTTTCCACATGCTACACTTCACACAGTATTAGCTGGTACCTGGTACGTCATGAAAATGCTTCATTTTTAGCTTTGTGCCATATCACGGACATCACAGAAGTTGACAAAATTTGCCACTCCTGGTTGCCTATGCTACATGTACGTCATGCTAATCATCTAGCTCTAATTCTTCTTGCTGAGTTTTAGCCACAAGCTCTGCATGGATTCGTATTTAGCAATAAAAGAGCTGCACATCAGTACCAACTTTACTAATATTACTTTACTGCTAGGCTAGCAAGTGATTGATAAACACAGATCTAGGGTAGCGGTTGGCTGTGTGATCCCCAAAACGTAAACAGCGGTTAAAAAAAAAAGCACACCTTGACTTAGATTTGCAATTTATTCGAAATTTTGAGTAAGACGGGGGCTGGACATAGGGAACGAGAGAAGTGAGAAAAGTGACACTATCGAAAACCAGGGGTCCTAAGTATATCACGAGTGGGAAAGGTAGACGACACGCCCATTAACACTAAGACATAAGGTAGCTGCCCTGGGTAACGAGCTCAGCTGAAAATCAGTGGTAACAGTAGGAAGACATACCCCCTGGCAACGAAAGGGTTAAAAATGAGCTAGAAATTAAATTTTTGTTTCAGCTATGATATTTCTACTGAGTCTGGATACATAGCTCCATTGAATCAAGACTGAATTCACCCGCTTATTGCCAAACTGACGCTTTGACAATGACAAACTAGATATTTTTGTTTCCTATATCCTTTCCAAGTTTTCAAGTAACAATAATAAGTTCTTATAAATGAAGGATCATGTAAAAATAAAACAAAACTGAGGCACTCAATCATTGCCAATATATCCATGATGCCTCCACAAGGGGTACGGACTCGAGCAGATATATCGGGGATACATCCCAAAAGAGTTAAAGAAGCAGGGCCTACCTGTGGTACCCTCTAACCATCAGTAAAATATGATTTGCATGAATGCTACAGATCACAATCCTTTAGCAAAAACAAGCTGAGTGGGCAGATTTGAAGAACAGACAGGAATAGATGAAAACCATAAAAACAATACTGGAAGAGGTGTGATTAATCAGGGAAATGCAAAAAGAGAAATAAAAAGATAGCTAGACGGACATCAGTAATTAATAAATTGGAGAGAAGATATCACTGTACTTATCATCTGTAAAAAACCGAACAGTACCCATGGAGGCAGACGTGGCCAAAGTAACCAACATGAAAACATGTATTGACTAAAGGACAACTGACACTGAAATGAAGATTATTTAATTACTCTTTTCCTGTACCGTCAGATAAACAAGGGAGAGCAATAATGATTTCATACAACTAAAAACACTCATAAAGGAAACAACAGTCTAAACATCAGCATACACTTACGGGAGACATCAGAGCTGCTTTGGCATCCTCTCCGTACCGGTTTTTGAGACATGGTCCACAAAACTGTAAATAGATTTGGCCAAACACTCATATAAGTTTCAAAGTTCTCCCTCCAAAATAATAACCCCCACCCCCCAAAGCACATTATTACTTTCACGAAACATGCCAGATTAATCATTAAAATTAAAGCCAAAATTATTTCCCACACCAAAAGAAACCAACAAAACAACTTTATGATACATTTATCATCATCCTTCCTTTCTGTGACCTAGCATTTCGTTAGAGTTCCAAGGAAAAGAAGCATTACTGACTTGCTCATTCGATTTAGAAATTCCCTAAATTTTTCTTGTGGGCAAACACTCGATTCAGGCAAAATGTGTACCACTCTGGGGGCGAGGCTAGTGGACTCATGTCACCTGATACTCTTAATGACCACGGGTGAGACATTTTCCATTGTACAAAGGTAGATCATTTAAATTTGAGATATAATTGTGAAGAAAAAATTGATTGGGTTTGTCAAGTTTGAGACAATATGTAGACAAATCTGCGCGATTGTTCATGAAAACAATGTTGTCAATACAAAGAAAATACAGCGGTTCTGTTGAGGAATGGTGTATTGTACGAGCTACCCGTAATTTCCAATTTTGAGTGTGCCTATTGTCTATGACTGACTATATAGCTGGTGAAATAATCTGATCGTCATTGTGCAGTGAATTACAAAGCAATCCAACATAGAATCCACTGCAAAGTAGGACATGATCTGTCATTCTAAAAACACACACAAAAAAAGAAGTTCCCTATGGCTTCTGAAACTGCCGAAAAGCAGCATTTCCTTATTCCTTTTTGTTTTAGTTATTATGACTCTTGCAATACAATAAGAGGTGTTACAAGACAGTAACAAACATAATAAAGGAGTGGAGTTTTTTTTGGGTTTTTTTGTTTTGAGTAAGAGTTTTAGGGCACTTGCAACACAATAAGGTCACATAAGTGCCGAAGAATAGATTATGTATTACAAGAAAGTAACATACACAAAAAAGGAGGAGAAATAAGGACGATAGATGTTTGATAGGAAAGAAGGAGCAAACCACACCAGAGCACCTGCCAACCACCTACAAAAGAGGAGAGATAAGGAAGACAGATGTTTCATAGGAAAGAAGGAGCAAACCACATCAGAGCACCCGCAAACCACCCACATTTTCACACTCAGAGATATATGACAACAGATGGCAACAAGTGACTGTTGTAGCTGTATATGATATTTTTTTTCCAGTCCCACTCACCTGACCCCTGACGCCTGTGCAGTCCTCTGAACGGCAAATTGTTTTCATGTCGTTCGTCTTTTGTCTACACTGGTGGCAGGTAGAGCCCTGTGACAGAACAAAATTACTGTATAGATATTTTTTCAAGACAACGAAACCAGAGAAGACATGAGAAAATCCTACTGTAATTCTTGCATTCCAAATAACAACCTACAACATCCAACTTAAAAGTAATAAGGAACAAAATCTGACCATTTGGCTTGAGTGACACAACAGAAGTAGCAGAAAAGTGACATTTTCAGTGACAGGCTCCAACCACTGTCAGGCAAAACATGAAAGGATCTTTAAGACAAAGAAACGTTATGCCACAACTGTTAACAAAGACAGAATAAAGAATACTAAAACCTCTTTATGTGAATGAATTACAAAGCATATCCTGTCCGGACCGAGATCATGTATCCTTACTTGTAAATTTTTTGGTAGGTTATCATTATAGTCTACCAAGCACACTGCGAACAGATTTTCAGGTCCCAAATTTTTTCTTATAAATACATGAATATTATATTCTTTGTATTAGAAACATGTACATTAAGAAAAGATTTCCACGTCCCGCCAATTTTGTTATGTGCATACTAGAATGTATAAAAGGGTATTATGGGAGAAACTGCATCATCCGATGAAAAACTGCTCCTTACATAAATACTGTCATATTTTTTGTCCGACACTGACACGGCCACCATATCCAGGTCAGCCTGAGTGATGTCTTCCACCGGTCTCGCCTCTCGAACAGTGCGGGGTTTCCGTGTGATCTGCGGCAGGGGACAGTCCTCGGCGTCCTCCTCATCAGAACTCTGTCACAGAAAACACGTGAAAATAAAAAAAATATTTTAAAAAATCACATTACAGGAACAAGATTTGAAACACAATACAGCGTAGCTCAGATAGTAGATAGAGCACACATGATAAGTACATACTGTAACATACTCAATCATTGTTCATTGTTTCAGGAAGCAACATCTCTGCACTCCGGACATGTCCATTGAGGCTCTGTTGCTTTCTCCAAAATGTCGCAGGGGGTCTTTCCACTGATTGTGCCAGTGCATATCTGGTTAAACGTTCTTCTGTTCTACACATACTCAAGAAAAAGTAAACAATAGGAGACTGCTGTCAAATAACTTATTCGGAATTCCCTACCCTTTTCCAGAAAATGATGAGTCATTTCTCTCCTAATGTATGTTTTTGTTTTAGTAAGCGTTTTACGGTACAATGTGTCATAGAGGAAGAATAAGGATGATAGGTGATTGATAGGAAAGCATCCAAAAAGCATCCACTTCCAAATATTTTAAAGTTCAAACTGAAATTTTCACTTTCAAAACATTTTCTAGATGTGTGTTGCTTTAGAACACCACACTGACAGAGCAACAGTCATTTAATTCATAGGCAAAAGACAGAAGCTGAAAAGAGATTTAAAAAAAAAAAAGGTAAAGAAGTATGACCTACCAGCAGCATCCCCTTGAACATAATTCTAAAGTGTGGGACCCCTGGACTGAGAGATCATATGTGTGTCATGACGCAGGGGAATCAGGTGCTTGTCAATTTTTGGGCATGGAGTTACTGGTATCTTCTTAATCTTAAAGGTTGTTCATTTGCCTTATTTTAGATGAAAACAATACCCATTTATCTTGAATAGAAGTCGAGATATTTGCAATTGAAGGAGGAGGGGTCGCCTGGTTTAAGAGGTAAAATTAGCGAGAAAGTAGCCGCCAAAGTTTGGTGACTTAGTATAACTAGAGTCCTTGGAAACTGCAAATTAAATTTTGGTGTGCCTTTAACCAACGTTTTTCCATAAAATCCACATATAAAAGTGTTTTTTGAAAGGACATACAAGGTGTTGAGCCGAAAAACAAAAATTTGAAGAAAAAAAGAAAAAGAAACAAAAGTCCAAACTGGTCGAAAAAATGCAGATTTCTTGGATTTCATTATTTTGATGAGTGCCTCATTTCACCATGATGCATCCCATAGAGAATATTGAATGGTAATTTTGTTTGGACGACTCTAGCAGAGGGTGAGGGAGTTTCATGGACCAGGAACAACACCAACTTTCCTTGAAATCTCATGAGTTTCCATATGAACAGTCATTGGCCACAAAGAGAAGCAGAAAAAAAAGGGTTTGAAGAAGGGTATGAAAAGTATGAGAAACTAAACAACAAAGCAATTACAACAACAACTGCCAACAAATGTGAATGAGACAAACATATTGACCTACCTCATCCATAGGAAGTCCTGATGATTCTGTATTTAACCTCTTGAAAAACCCAAACCGGACGACAAGTTTCTGAAATAAGACAGAAGACAAATTGAAGAACAACACAAACCAAGGTGTCATTTCTGATTTTGTTTCAGTGGCAACCGTTTCAATAGCCAAGGCAGAGCGTCATATCATTTTAATCATCACTCTTCAAAAAGTCAGAGCCACAAAGTTCCAGCTGCTTGAAGAAATATTTTCATCATCTTTAACAATTTCCCTCTTCAATTTGAAATGGTGGTGGGGATGTTCCTAGAAACTGACTAGCTAATCTGAGTGCACAGCAGATTGAATTTAAAATTTAAAGGATCATTTACCCCCCTTTCAAATGTTAATCTAATTGTTTAAGTCAGGATGAGGGCAATGGATAGAACCCTTATTTAGCTACAATTGCTAAAAGACCCGCCAACTGAACCTCACAACCTGCCATTCCATACACACACACACAGGACAAAATGAAAAAAAAATAATCTAGTTATCAATTCCTGGCCTACCTCAGGGGATGATGAGGGTGTTGTAGAGGAAGAGGAAGCCGAAGACACTGTTGATGAGATAGACCCGCTCCTGGCTCTGGACCGAGTGCGAGGAAGATCAAACCGAGATGGGGTTACACGAGCACGGCGGGAGGGGTTTCTCCTGATGAACTGATCTTCAGCATCAGCTGCTGAAATTCTCTTTCTCTGCAAACACAATTTAAAAAATAAAAAACCCAAATAACAATTCCTTTCAGTTAGCAAATGATAGAAACAAAGCAGCAACGATTAAGAATAATAAGAAGAGGTACTGGACATATGAAAAACCTAACTAAATGCACTGTTCAACTACTTAAAATGAGAATACACCCATAAGGCCGCGAATGGCAGCAATGGTTCTAATAAGGGTAAAAAAACTGTCCACGACAGCCACCCATTGTTAAGGAGAAATATGGTTATGAGTCTGCAACTTTAAGACCCAGCTGTGAGTAAGCATTGTATAGACTCATGCCCTACAAATCAGACCATAAGATGGACAAGTATTAGACGACAAAGGACCTTTGTCACCAATGAACTTAATTCTTAAGGTGAATATAACAAGGCTATTACTACTTACAAACAAGGTAATGTATATTAAGAATTACTTAAGTGAAAAGTTGTTCACCAAATAGTTTTCCTCACCTTCTGGACTGTGGTCGGTTTTTTGACAATCTGATCTTTGATGTCACACATAAGTTTCGCCAACTGTAAAACAGCACAAGTGGACACGTTTAGTACAGAAATAAGCTAAGCAGTACACATGAATACATGTACGTACAAAATAAGGGGGGGGGGGGGGAAGCAGGACCAATTAAAAAAAACCCTTACTTTCTTCTCATGAATCACATTTAAAGTTTTAAATTGTTTCACAAAAAATCAGTACAGTTAAACCTCACTAATACACCCCCCCCCCAAAAAAAAAAATCATCAGTCCCCCTTACCACCCAGCTGGTATTGCCAACGTATGAAAAGAAACGTCTCTGTCTGAATATATAGTATTTGCAGCTTTACACTATAGCAGTCATAAACTCACTCCAATCATGATCTCTGAAAAGGACCACAGGTGGACAAAAACATAATGCCCCAGCACATAGTTCAAGAAAGAAAAAGGTGCTGACTAAGCTTTTCATAAAATACAAGAAGAGGATAATATTACCACGGCTTTATTGTCCTCCAGATTTCTTTTCCTGAGATTTTCATAGTGGCAAACATCGTCCTGGTAAAAGAGACATGAATATTGAAATGAAAAGTTCAGTGAACAAACAGGGCATGACAACACCTCTAGATAGTTACAGCATCACATGACGTAAAAGCTTTCATACATAAACATCAGGAAATTCTTGTAAGAAGCAAAAGGTCGCCAGCTAAGAAATTAGAAAGAGGGAGAGGAAGGGAGAGCCAGAGAGAAAGAGGGAGGGAGGGGAGGAGGGGGAGGGAGAGAGAGAGAGAGAGAGAGAGAGAGAGAGAGAGAGAGAGAGAGAGAGAGAGAGAGAGAGAGAGAGAGAGAGAGAAACAGAACAGGCAGGCAGAGATACTTAATTTTGCTATTGCAATGCAACACTTGGCTTTCCCCTTCCCTATTGGAAGCAACAAAAAGAAACATTTTCCTACTCTGCCCCTCAAACTCATTAACTGAAATTAAACAAGGATAAGAAAAAACAGACACTTTTAACAATGAAATCAGTGATAGTTACCATTCCAGTGTCCTCCATTCCTAATGTGTGAAGATGTCACTGTACACTGATTTTAAAACTCAAAAAGGACAGTGGTCTGGAAAAAAAAGGAAACCAGGAAATCATTAGATGGAACTTTAGTTTCCTTGTGATGAGTTTGAGCAACTTCGTCTTTGGTAAAAAAAAATTGGAGCAGGAAAGAAAGCGAAGCTGTAGAGTTGAAGGCCTCTATAGTCTATGGGTAGCTTGGACAAGTCATGTATGGATCCATGACAAAAGTACAAATATATACAGTCGAACCTGCTATGACGGCCACTTTCGATCCCCCCCCCCCCTGCGTTTTTTCGACATAATTTAACTGTAAAACTGTCACCTGTCAAACACGACTGCGGCCACCTTATTTTATCAACCCAGAGCCAAATTTACCTGCCTCAGGCGGCCAGACATGGTCTCTATAATCGCCCAATGCTCTGTCATAAATTCTAAATTGGCCTCTGATATTGTGGACAGGTCGCCATAATTCATTCACCTGTCATTATTGTTAGTCCCTCCAATGAATGTTTCACCCAAGCCCAAGGTGACCAATGGGTAACAATACATTTTCAACTGCTGGTGAGAGAAGCGAGCGTCTGTCATAAACTAAGCCCCTCCCACAACTCATACATATTGTACGTGAAGTGACTGGTCACTGTTTTGTTTACCCAATCTGTTACAAAGTAACAATGGACGTTAACGTGAACTTGCGACCGAAGCGTTGCTCGTTCTTCGAGTGGTGGCAACCCGTGAGTGTGTTTTACCATGACACTCGGTCTTCATTGTCTTACATTCTTTATTCTATCCTTGCACAACATCAGCAACCAAAAAGCTAAAAAAAAAAATTAAAAACCCCCCACAAAAAACCAAAAACAAACAGAAAAACCCCTTCCTCCACCGCCCCCTTTTTTTCAAAAGAAAAAAAATCCCCATTCGAATCCGCCGTACGGCAGCCCTAAGCCTGAATCAGCCCTGGTTAGGACTTCAGAAGGGAATGGCTTACTTCCTTCATTTTGATCAGTCCTGCATAAGACGGCCATCTGTGTTATACAGCCACTTTTCTCCATGACAATGGGTGGCTGTTTTACACAGGTTCGACTGAACAGCCAAGAATGAAGGACTAGTAGTCTGCATCCCGTATTCAAAAGACAAAAGCAGACAGTTGCATAGCCTTCATAAGGCCTCCACTGCCACGAAGCAGAAGTAAAGCCAGCAAGCAGAGACCTTAAAATTGGGGCTTCTGGCAAAAACAATTTGGGGTATTCTTTACTTTCTCTCCAGTCTACTTGTCCATCTTCTATATATTGGTGCGCTGAACACAAATAACTGTATCACCGTAGCAAATTAATAACTTTGGAAATATCTGATGGTTTTTAATAGAGCTAAATCACACTAAGCCCTAAGCCTAACTGTGTAGTATTATTAGTAATTTGCGCCCTTTGGACCAATCAGGGGGCTGTTTAAACCCATAATTTGATATTATGCAGTGAGGTTTGAAACTTTCTGGAAAATTACTGATTTGCGACAGTTTTAGTGGCTTTTTATGTTATGTGTGATCTGTAGCAAACAATACTGAAGTTTGACCCCCGAAGCAGTGCATCTGTGTGTGGGAGTGAAAGTAAAAATTTACCGAGACCGAGTTGTTTTCATCTCAGGAAAGTGAAAGGGCACAATCACTGAAACACCACAATGCCAGTCAGCATGCAATAACATTCTATTCTAAATTTTTAATCTAATTCTGAGTAAACATAACTCTTAATCTTAACAGTCGTTTCTAACATTTGAGTCTAGATTTAGATCTAGATCTATCATCTAGCTAACTCTTGGCTATCATGTAGTTTGACCACACCACAGAGTCTATAAATAACAGAGTGAAAGGAAGGTCCGGCCAATCCTCGTCAAAACATTCAAACATTATATCCCTCAAGCAGAAATTGTATGGATCGGTGGACATGCAACAGAAGGTTGCCAATATTGATCTATACAATAATAATAATGATGTCAATGTAGGACTGTGGTGACTGTCTAGTCTGTGCTAGGCTAGATTCTAGAGATGGCCAAGTCTAGAAGGAACCAATAAGACATGAAAGAAAAAGAAATAAATACCGAAACCAAGACAACAAAAGCATAGACTGTGGAGGCAGACTTTGATATAATACCGCTGCACAATCCAATGAATTGTATTCATAAAAAAATAACAACTAACAATCGACATTCCGTTAATGTTATCGGTCATCATGTGTGTGAGTGTGATCAGTGAGGTGATGGATAATGGATGCTGATCGGCATGGTCCACCAAATTTCCTTGAAAAGAGAAACAACGAAATTCACTAAAAACTTGGCCTAGATCTACATCAATTTCCGGCTGCTTCAAATGTCTGATTCAATTCTTTAATCATTGTAACGTGGAAAGACACCCAGACACATCGAGGGAAAAAAATGCCAAGATGATCATATGGGAAAAACATACGTCTGCTTGCCAAACCTCAGACCCAAGAGAACGCCATCATTCCCGCCAAATCCGTGGGCGTAGCGTTAAACAGGTTCCCTGAGCACTGGGGTCGGTTAACATAAACGAAGAAAAGAAGGATATTATTTCTTCAGTTGTAGCGAGAAAAGATAAAAATGACACATAAATACTTTATTTATCGAAATTAACGAAAGTTACCTAAAGACAATCTTATGGAAGGTAGCGGATGTGCTTTACAACTCACTTGATTTGCGACCCTGACCCGCGAAATGTAAACAGATACGAAAGGAAATTTCCCATCTTGTCTAAAAGCCAGAAAATTGGTGGCAGACCCATGAAGAGATACACTCCTATTAAGTAATATATCAAGACGTAGGATGCAGAGAGAACACATTTACTGTAACTCACAAGCGAAATAACTTGTCGAAAGAATTCTGTATTTTTGTCACTTCTGGTTTCTGAAACTAATGAGATAAGTCAGCCTTACGCACATGGTCAGGTGGGCGGTGCCTAGCTTTCAAGCATGCTGGTCGACTCAACAAAAACATCCGGGTTAGCCTAGTATCCCAGATTGAGGCAAACTGTATAAGCATTTTCTGTAGCGTGCTATCCGAGTGTAAAAAAATTGGTTATTTAACACGTAGATCTACTTCTATAAGAAATAATATTGCAAACTAATTACATACCTCATAAATCATTAGAAGTCAGAGAAACTCCTGGAAATGAGTTACTAAGCCCGTGAATTGCTTATTTTTTTGTATTCACTTGTTGTTATTTCTAGAAAAATCTGGTTTTTATAATCGTAGCCTCTGACCTTTATTTTTATCAACAGCTGTGCAAAACCAGTTTGTGGCTTGTGGACTGACAATCTTTGGACAACATTATTATGGCAAATCTTGATATTGCCGGTAATTCCCTCTGATGTTTTAGACTAAATAAAAAGATTCTTTATCTACTTCAATTTACAGATTATCAATATATGTACTGTAATTTTGTAGATACGCTAGCCGACTCCAATGCCTTTCCTTGCCCATGGCCATGACATGTTGTATAATTTCTCCATGCACAAAGGCATGTTTATTATGTATTGTGTGCTCTGCTTTGTAAAATCAGTAGAGGGGTTATGTATTATACCAGCACAGAAATAGATCTAGATCTAGTCTTTAAGTTTAAGTCGCAGTGTCTGCCCGATAATGCTATGTGTAAAAGGACACTCCCCTGAAATTTGAAAAGAATGCATGCTTACTTAAAATTTTACTTTTGTTAAAAATTGTTCGTCAAGGATTTTTTTTTTTATAACGACGGCCTTTTTAAAGGATAAGTTGTATAACAAACCGACTTTCACTAAAATTCCTAAAGCCAAATCTACACTCACGTCCTCAGCTCGGGATAACTAAACATGTGCATTTATCTAATTTCAGTAAAACTTGTGCAAGGAAGGACTAATAAGTGACAAACTTTTTAGAAGAGTTTATAGTGGCTTACTTGTTGATTGTGAACACTCAATTGACAATTAAAACTCAAGCTTACATCTTACCATTTCAGGCATTTTTGTTTTGTATGACCTCTATTTTAATTTTGTTGTATGTAGAACTTTTCCCTCAGTGATTTTAAAAAGTACCTGTACTATTCCTGTCACCCCTTGAAACATAATGTGTAGATTCTTGATATCAATAGCTTTCATTCTGTTACTGTGCTTTACATTTCAACAGTGCTCTAGCTAGAGTAGAGGAGGTAGTCTGGGCTACCCTAAGCACAAAAAGTGACCTTGCTAGACCCCGGTGAAAGGGGAGGTAACTGCATAATAACTGATGAGAAGCAAATTTCGTCTGCTATCGTTGGCCCAGCGCGCTATGCCTGCTTTGTTTGCCTGTCTCCCTTAGTAGTGGTTTTTTGTGAGGCAAAGTGAGGGCGGGTGTGTGCGACAATGAGCAGGGGTGCGCGTTCCTGCTTGAGGGTGGCGCGTTTTATGGAGGGGCTGCGCGCTAGGATAGGGCGGGTCTTGCAACATGTCCTTATAACTTCTTATTATGAATCTTATAGGCTAACGTATGATTTTCTAACCACAACGCCGGAAATATTCTTACAAATTGCACAAGAGTTAAGAGTTACAAAAGACACTCTGTTTTTATGCATAGCCACAAGAGAAAGAAAACAAAAAATAACTGAAGCCAACACTTACAATGGAAACAGTAATCTATTAGTGAGTCTAGATAACCCTGAAAACTTGATTTAAATTATATAAGAACAGCAAAGTAGAGACATGTGGATCTAATTGCACATGGATAAACAAAGATATTGTTTACACTATTAGTATGAAACAAAATGGGAAGGAGAGATTAGTTAGCACAGCAAAAGAGCTCAATGTCCATGGCATCCAGGTCTTCCTGAGTCTTGTCCTCAGGTCCATCTGTTTGACACAGTTGACATGCCACCACTTGTCACAAAGCATGCACTGGGTGAGCACTACTTATCCTGCGGTGGTGGCTCCACATCCAGCACAGTCGACCGTAATATCCCCACAATCGTCCGAGCTGTCGTCGTACACCGGCTCTTCTCCTGAGTCAGAGGAATCTTCCTCCTCTTTCTTCTTCTGTGAGGCCACAACCAAAGCATTCATCTTCTTCTCTTGAATTTTCCTTTTCTTCTCCTCCTATTTCTTTGCCTGCTCCCTTCGTTTTTTCTTCTCTTTTTGGCTTTCCTTCTTGTCTTCAGCTTGTGCTAGCCGTTCCATCTTTCTCTGCTCCCTTGGCTTCTTTCTCTCTTCCTTCTGCTGTTGTTCTTCTTCCGCCTTCCTCTTCTTTGTGAGTATCATCTCTTTCTAGTCATTTCCACTGATGGACAATGGCACAGGTGGCTGGGGCTTTCTAACGGACTTGTTCTTTGAACAGGACGGAAATGTGAGCACCTTGTCGATAGTCATCTCCCCGGTGGGGGTCTGAGGTTTCAGGGCTCTTGCTGATGGCTGAGGGAGCGGAGGAGTCAGTTGTTCAATATTGTCCATCAGGCTGGACCATATGTTGTAGTTGGGGTCGATCTTGAGGTCATATCCATTGTCATACCTCTTGAGGTACAGGTCAACTTTCTCCTCCCCAAGCTTAAAGTTCATGGAGAATATTTCCTTGAGTCGGTGACGCCGAGTTTGTGACGTCGTGGATGGTTTAGAAGCAAAAGAGGCGGATGGGGCAGAGGCAGACGAGGTGGATGACAAGTGGAGGGTAGGGGCAGGGGATCCTGTTAAGGTGCAGCTGGGTTCAGCTTGTCACTTGTGAGGACACGTCAGGGTTGTAGAAAAACAGCCCTGACTTGGGGAATCCCCTCAGGGCCGTTTTTAGCCGAGCTACTGTTGTCCAGGCCTTCAATTCAGGACGCCGGCGAACGTCCTCAGTGTGACGGATTCCGTGGTGTCCCTCACAAACTTCCTTACCCCCTCTCGCCACGCTGGCTTAATAATGGCCCCGAAAAACGCCTGGTACAGAGGCTGTGTCAGGTGGCTGTTGTGGGCCTTGATGCAATATAATATTGCCCCGTTCTCGCTGCAGAGGTCTGAGACGCGAAACCCCGCCTTACTAGACGCCGTGGCGGCACTGCGCGCCAACCCCCATCCATCCCCTCAGAGAGGCTGAGAGGGTCCGTGCTTTGCTTAGTACTGATGCTACATGCAGAACACACTGCTTTGTGTGTAGTGCAAGTATACACATCTTCATAAAATGCATTGACAGCCTTACAACTGCAGGCCGATACACCGTTAGAATACGTAATCAGCAAACCTGGAAATAATTTGCCTCTGTGTACGTGCAATAAGCAACCACAGTGACCTGCCAATAATCTCGTACTACAGGAAAAGGTGCTGCCGGATGTTGATAAATGCTGGAACGCTCTAGCATGTTTAAATTGGTTCATACTACAAGGTTGCCGCGCAGACCCCCCTATCGCACAACCCCGCCGCTACTCTATATGTAGGTGGTTGACATGTGTGCTCTAGTAGGGTAGTCATCTGGTGATATGGTTTTCTCGTTGTTTCCTATTATGGTAAATTTTTATTTTCACTCCCGCACACAGATGCACTGCTTTGGGGATCAAACTGCATATTGTTTGCTGCGGGAAACTATCAGAGCTGCGCTCTTTTGAGAAAAAAAATATCAAAGCTGCGCACTGTCAGAGCCGCACACTTTTTAACGATATTTATACAATTAGATTGCCGATTCCGTACAACAGTTACAGTTCCCTTGACAAAATTACTCTGCACAGCCCCCCACCAAATATATTCGTCTTTGTGCTGACGTTAAACGATTCCAGACCATTTCTAAGATGAAACGAAAAACACAGACTTTATGACTCTCTCTCAGGGATAAAAGATTCTTTTTTGAAAAATAAATGTTTTTCTATATAACGACTTTTAATTGTGTGACAATGTTTTTTTGTTTCTTCTACAGCTGGTATGCTTTGTTAAAAAGACGAGAGATTAATTGCAGAGTTTCTAAAATAAACAATGCGAAGTGTTGTTAGGTTGTGTCTTGTGTGTAGCAGACATAGAAAAGACTTGTTCACCAGCTTTCGAGCCAGGACACTGTTTTCTAATGTGGGACGTGGCTCAAGAAATCAAGAGGGAGATGGTTCAGATAAGCTGCTGAATGTCTCAGGTACTAAGATGCCTCCACTTTTTCACCATCTGATAAAAGTGAAATCAAACTTATTTTCTTTACCTACACTTCTAAGCAGGCAGTAGGGCCAACTTATCTCTATCTCAACAATATCTTAGCAGTGTTAGGAGCAGTTAGTGGGTGGTTGGCGGGTGCTCTGGTGTGGTTTGCTTCTCCTTTCCTATCAAACTTATATCGTCCTTATCTCCCTCCTTCTTTTTTATGTTTGTTACTCTCTTGTAACACCTCTTATCTTTTGACGCTCATATGACCTTATGCAGTTTCGAGTGCTGTAAAACCTCTACTAAAACTAAACGAGGAGCAGTTAAGCATTTTCTGTATACAACATATTTTCTCTTCCTGCTCACCATTTTGGTGTGTCTCCTGCACACGCCTGAAATATACAGTACAGTCGAACCTGTATAAAACAGAAACCTGTCTTAACAGAATCTCCCCGCTCACCCCTTGATATATTCCTCTTTAATTACCTGTATAAAACAGAAACCTGTCCATAGCGAAAACGGAAAGAAAAATCCGCTCCCTTCCGAGGGTTTCACCTGTCTAAGATGGAAAATGCTTTGCCCGCTCAGCTCTGATTTGAAAAACTTTTAAGTTTGGTTCCGCCGGCTCTAAACTTAATGTCATGGCCATGCCGCTAGACGAGGAAGGGGAGTAGGGGTGCAATTTGGGGGTAGATGTTACCCCATCATGTGAGCCCTGAGCGATGTAGATTGTCAGGGTAGTGTGGGTGTGAAATCTCACGACTGCCCGTGAGAGTGCTTGAGTAGCGAGCCACTACGGAAACTTTCGTGGGTAGCCAGAAGCCAGAGGTGTGAAATTAGATTGACCAATACCTGCTGACCCATTTCCATCTTCCTCTAAATTTCCCTTTCTAAGACGGAATTTTTTCTGGCTTCCCTGCGATTCCGTCTTACTCAGGTTCGACTGTATTTTAAAAACTCTTAATGGGTTCTATAAGTTGCTGACGAAAGGTGATGAAATTTACAATTTTTATAAACTTCTAATGGGTCCTATTGATAGCTAATGAAAAGTTTTTTAAGTTTGCCTTCCACATTTGACAATTTTAAAGAGATTTAGTTGACTTGAAATCAGTTGATCGGACTGAAATGGCACTTTAATTGTTCACATCATGCCTATCAATATATTTCTCTTATAAAAAGGACTGGACATGAGCACTAAAATTTGACCCCTGTTGGCTAATGTCTTGTCTCTTTGACAATGTGCTGTCAACGTAGGTGGTAAGATTTGATGGTAATTATTAAAAATATTTTTGTTTCAGATATGTTGTTTGTCTACATTTTGACGTACTCAGTTTGAAGGTACATAAATAATGATCGATTTTGAGCATGAAATGTCTAAATTGTTCATTTGGCAGGAATGAGGAAGCCTTACAAAGGCAAACAAGAAGTCTTTGATGTTGGCGACCTTGTGGCTAAGGAGCCTTTTGGACAGTTCACAGCGTGGTTTGAGGAGGCCAAGAATACAGATGGGATTATGGAAGCCAATGCAATGGCCATTGCCACAGCCACCAAGTGAGTGTTTATTGCCAGTTGTGCTGTTCTGCTTATATTCTTACCCTTTGCTCTTCCAGCGGGGGATTTCGACATCATTCCGCTAGTGCTGTGCTCTGCTTAAAACCCTGATCTGAATCCCGTACAGAGCATAATCTTGAACTTGAGGGGTTTTCAGGCTCTCCTACTGCTTGGCTATATATTTATGCTGGTCATGATATTTTTACTTACTGCATAACCCGAGGGTGACTACTGATCCATTTCGTAATTTGATGGTTTTCTTTTCACAACCATAAAGCATTTTTATTTGCTTTTATTTAACGAGTAGACTCATTCTTTCTCTTATTGTGAGTTGTCAACCATGAACATGTTTAACGTCTAACTGTGTTTCTACATATGTACTGATTTGCATTTTTATGTCTATTTTCCTGTTAATTGTAATAGTGGATTTTTATCAATGTACAAGTATGTGGAACTTTGTGTTGTCTTTGAAGTAAATGTTTTTTTTTGTTTCGTTTGGTTTTTTTTGTTCTTAGGATTTTTTATATTGTGCCTATGTCTGCTTTACCTACTGTATTGTAATCTACTCTGAGCATCTTGTCGAAATTAAAATTGGGCAAATTTGAATGCTAATGCAGTTAATCATTTTTATTTCTATCATTATTATTATTTCTCATGGCTTCTTGGGTGATCAAGTTGGGGGAAGGTCTTCATGCTTTCCTCTGACTGCAGCCAGGTTACTCACCCACATAGCCAGTAGATTGGACATATAATTTTGACTAATTTATAGAATAAATATATATTGTGCTGTCATTTGGGGATACAGAACAGGAGGGCCTTCCTACCTGCCTATAATTATAAGCCAGAGAGTTCAAGACACTAGTACTGGTAATTACGTTTATTGACATTTGTTCCCCCAATACCAGCTATTTGTAACCTAGATTTCTTTTCAAGGATTAATTTATCACTCTTGTTTCTCATTGTTTATTATTTTCCAACTTGCCATGACAGCCGGTTATGTGAAACATTATATCTAGAATCTCGATATCTGAATGAAACTTCTTTTCTTGTTGTAAATGGCAAATTTCCCTCAGTATTATTACCGGTACCGAGTTGGCTACCTCAATTTTGCACATTTTAAAAACTTTTGTACATTGGTTTATATTTTTTAATGAAACTGGTTTGTTCCTAAATGGGACAAGTTGTCACAGTAACTTTCAAAAATCACTAAAATTTCATGATCTCTTGTTCTTTTATTCACTGAAGGAGAAATAAAACAGATTTGTTCCCCTTTTATCCCCCCCCCCCCCCTGCAAATTAAAACAACAAATTGATTTTGATGGCTAGTTAAAAAAGAGTTTTATTTTTGTTGAATCAAAATTCATTGACCACCATGTTTACTCCCACATACTTTCATTTTTACCATGCTAAACATGCATCCTAGCCTGCTTGTTCCGTGCTTAAGTGCACAGATAAAATTATAGTCTCTTTTAAAGAAGTTCAAAACATTTCGTAATGCTGTAGGATTTGTTTGGGTATTAATAAACGAGCTGGGTACCTCGTGCGATGAACGGACTCAAAAGAATCGATCGCCAAGTCATTGTTGAACCAGTATGCACTGTTTGTGAACGGACCTCTCACTTGTTTACAATGGCGTCTAAGAAGACGAACTTTCCCAAGATTAGATCTAAACAAAACTAATGAAAAACTGAAAATTAAACTACAGGGACTTCAGACTGCATATTTTAACTGTGCACCCTTTAAATGATTCTGAACCACCGTTAATTTTGTAAAATTTGAAAGTTCAGTGGTTGGGAAGTTTTAGGCGGCCAAAGTGAAGAACTTTCACACATATAATATGTATAGATTATGAAGTGCATGGAGCCGATTTTCTAGCATAGAGATATGCGGTGTATATTATTATTACTAGTGTTATTAATTATCATTATTATCATCATTGTTATTGTTCTCCAGAGATGGAAAACCTTCTGTTCGAATGGTTCTCATGAAGGGCATTGACAAAAAGGGAATCGTGTTCTACACAAACTATGGAAGCAGAAAAGCCCAAGAACTTGTAAGTCCTAAAATCTCTAGTTATTTCAAATCTTTGAACAGTTTTATCTGTCTATTTAAAGGAGATCTCCTTTAGATTAGATTGTATGGTAAAGAATGCTGAAACTGATATTGTCTCTTATTGCAGTATTGATAGAAGCTATGATGTGATTTATACTATCTTTTATGCTCAAGAAATCTTACTCCTAGTTTAATTTTTCTCTCACTTGTATTTCACACGTCTGTTGTGTCTGTTTGTTTCTCTGTGCTATATTTTATACAACATACCTGATGCAAAAAAGAACAAATATGTGAAAAGCGAAGAGATGTGCAAGGTGTGCCGACAAAATGAGTTACTTCTTGCAGTCCACAAATGGAGATATTGGCCAATAATCAACATTTGGGTCAAATTTGTAGATTTTCTATTGATTCCATATTCTTTAAGTATAACCAATGTTCTATTATTTCATGTATAAACTGTAAAAACTTCACTTACAACGTGATGTATCCTATTTCCTTATGGCTTGAATCCGAGTAGTAATTCATTTTGTTTCTTCGCGTGTGTACATTAATATTTGTACCATTTTCTCAATCACAGGAGGAAAATCCATTTGCCTCTCTACTTTTCTATCTGTCGACTAATTCTGAAACCTCCACCATTAGCAGGCAGGTAAATACGTAACTTCCAACACTTCAAACTTATTCTTTTGTCTACTACGATGACACAGAATGCTTTTTTATAAATTTATGCAAATGTGACTTTGCACACCAGTTTGAAGGGCTTATCTCTCTTGGATAGATTGTCATTGAATTGGAAAAGTAAAAGGAAAAATTGAATGCTTGAAAACTATGCTGATTAGGGAGTTGGGTTGTGGGAGAGGAGATGTTTGGTGGTGAGGGAGGGCTGGACATGACTTCGATATCTAGGGGGTTTACTGTGGAAGATTGGATTACTCATTTTGAAAAAGAGTAATTTTGGGGTAGTTAAGAAAAAATGAGTTAGTAAATCTAGTACTTTGGTTTCTCAGTTTCTCCAACTTCGCTCAAAGACATGCCACAGACAACAGTAGAGTGGGTCTGGGTTACTAGAACTAAAAGCAAAGGGAGTGGGATAAAATTAATTTTAAGGTGACTCAATAAAGTAATATAGAAAAAGTAAGCCTGTGTGCAGTGCTCTGTTATCTCTGCATATGTGTTACAGCATCACCCTCAGTGCAAAGTAGAACTGTGACCCTCAGTGCAAAGTAGAGCTGTGCCTATTGAATTGTATTTCACTATTCAGCATCCATGATTTTTGCGTTATTCACAGCTATTCAAAGCATGGCAAAGCCATTCGAATACTTATTGGTTGTTTATTGGGAGTTTAAGATTTATTTTTTTTAAATATATTTTTTTAACAGATAATGGACTTCCCTCTCATTTCTCACAAACCCTAGTATAATTAGAGCATACTATAACTAAAATCATCGAGGTTAATACAAAAATATTTTGATAAGTGGAACCTGCAAGAATTATAAAAGATGCCTCTAAGTTCTAAAGAGTATTCATTACTTTTCAATATTCACCTGCCACATCATTAACTGCTCGAACAAGAGCATTTATTGACTCTCGAAGCACAACAAATGTTTTTTCATGAAATTAACAGTACCTGTCGCAATGAGCTCCCCTTTCCCTATTTAAAATTCGAAGCATTATGAGCAGTGATGTAACATTGCATTACACTGTGTGCGAGAAAACACAAGAGCGCTCAGTGACTAGCACTGTGTACAGGCAGCAAATGTTGAATAGTGGAAGTTAGGAATGGACTTATCATAAGAAAAAAATTCACAAATTTTATTTCCTCAAAATGGCCGAACTTTAGTGCAAGGTAGGACAAGCAACAAGCACATAACTCTCCTCAGCTCATGTCCAAAGTCACATTTGTGTAAAAAACCTGGCAAAAATCACACACAAATTGCGAACCAAAAATGGTTTATGAATTATATCGTAAAATTATTTGGCCTGAAATTTCCCACTTTTATTTACCACCGATTTCCATTCATTTTGTTCATAATTTATGTGTGGTCTTTGACGAGTGGAGATATTAAGTATTTTTACTTGTTTATGACTTGGCATTAACTTTTCTCTTTTCCTTATTGTTTTATCTCCTTGGCATATCAGGTTGAAAATCCAAATTGTAGCTTAATGTTTTACTGGGAGGCGCTTATGAAATCGGTGAGTAAGGCTGTCATTTTTTTTTTATTGCTTTGCTTGTGATCTGGGGAAGAAAAATGCTAGCAATACATGTCTTTGTGGAGGCTTATGGCCAAGATGTTCCATTTACAGCAGATACCTCAGAAGGCTACATTCCCATCACCTCATTGTCACCGAGAGGACTTTTTGTAATTTTAAGAAGCCATGGTTTTGGGCATCATTTAATTTGTGAGGGGGCAGTGCATTATATTGGTATTTTTGTTGACAGCAAGACTATTTCATACTTAATTTTTATGGTATAGATATTATAAGCCTTATATTTTGATTGGATGGTGTTTAAATGAGAAGAAGGGTAGTGAGTGAGATCTAGTTGCAACCTCACCTTTTGTTATACATCTACTCATTCTTCGTAGCCAAATTTGCTGACTCATAAATAGATCCATAGCAAAGTAGATACAAAATTGTATTTCTTGTTTTAGTTACTTTTTGGAAGTACTGTGTACCTATTTGTTGCACTTGGTGAGTGTTGCTGTTTCTTATACCACAACATAAGATGTAGTGTATTTGTTTCTGTTTTCATAAACTGTGTACTTTTTTAACCTCCAATGGTCCTAAATTTGTGGATAGAACTTGATTAAGCTACTAATGCTTTTTATATTTTCTTTCTGTCCTTAACTGGGTTCGTGAGTGTCTGATGAATAAAGGTCAAAATGCAATGGAAAGTTCTGGACTTGGATTTGAAATAATGAATTTTCATGCCTGACTTTCAAGAGTTTCAAAAAAGTTCAAATTCAAATTTAAATGCTTATCTATTGTCATGTTGTATAATCTCGGAAGCTCTCACTGTTTCATGATAAGTCCTTCTGCCTGCCTGTTCATTCTTATGTGCCATTTAAGTACATGTACCTCATGAGGCATAAAAGAGATAAGGTTATATCAAAAATATTTGGTAAAATGATATTCTTTTAACATTTTGGTGTTGTAATTCTAAGACTGCTTCCTCTGTCCTTAGATAAGAATAGAAGGCAGAGTGGAGCGAGTGTCGGAGGCAGAATCGACCCAGTACTTCCACTCCAGACCACGCACTAGCCAGATGGGCGCAGTTGTCAGCCAACAGAGTACTCTCATCAAGAACCGAGAGGTGATCACTGGAAGTTTGAATTGTGTAACATTTGTTGTTTGGGGCAGGTGGTTTAGAAGCTAACCTGGCGTGTGTGGTCACACGCTGTTTCTGTTCACTTTTCTCTAGTTATTTATAAATTCTCCCCACCATCAGGTAGCTCAGAGTTCACTTAAGTTTCTGGGAACTGACGGTAAGATCAGTCCAAAGGAGAAAGAAGTGGAGTCTGAAGCGAAGACATTTATGCAATTTCTGAAATGATTAAAGATGATAAATGGTTCGGACATCTCATGCGATTACCAACACACCACCCAGCACAACGTGCTTACATAAAAAAATTCAGTGGCAACAAGACTAGAGGGCGACTGAAATAGACCTGGATAGATGGAGTCAGGGAAACATTAACAACTCACGACATCCCCCTGACCCAAGCTCTCCGGCTGGCGACAGAGAGACATCTCTTTCTTCCCGAGACACCAAAAGGGTATAAGCGGCGGACAAAAGTAAAGTAAAGATAAAAGATGACTTAACAGAGTGCAGAAGGTTTAGTTTTTTTCCCCTTGTGCTCTCTGCAGCCAACCAACTTATGTAGCGTGTATTGGTCTAATTTATGAGTCACATGTGCCGTCATCATACAGGAAGTGTAAACTAGTGCAGCAGACGTAGTCTGTTGTGATGAAACGATACCCAGTGTGGTTAGTTGGTGGATGCTCAGATGTGGTTTGCTCTTTTTATCCTATCAAACATCTATCATTCTTATCTTTCCTCCTTCTTTCTTTATTACATCTCTATTCTTCCACACTTATATATTATCTTTGTATTGCAAATGATGTGAAACTTCTACTAAAACTAAAACAGCACCTCCTGATGAAGTCTCTCCATTTGTCTTGCTGTTTTCTTCTGATGGTCTTTTGCAAATCTCTTGTCAAAATGGTTGGAGTTGAACTGTACAAATAGAAGGGGGAAAGTTCAGCTGGTTTGGGGTGAATAACAACTACAGCTCCTGTGATATTGTTCACCTTATGAATTACTTGACTTGCTTCTTTTATCAAGTTTTTATAAAGTATATTCTTATAGTCATACTTTCTGATCTTCCTTGCATTAAAAATGCGGAAGCCAAGAGAGAAGTCCAAGCATTGTGCATCCACCCATGAGTGGAATTGAAACTTTTGAATGTTGAAAATGTAGTGAACACTTCTCAGCCAGCATTGGTCTCATTGGCCATAGCAGAAGCCACAAGTCATCTTAACCTATATTAATTGTGTTTCATTAAAAAAATATTCTCGTTTGCAGATGCATTGGTCATCGCCTGACATTGACAAGCAAACTATTATTATTATAATTCTGATTTTTCGAGAGAGAACTGAAAGTCAACCAACTTGCACTTTGCACAGCTATTTTTGACACATTATATTGTTCTTTAGTAATGAGTTTATTTTTCCTTTTCCAGGAGCTAGATAAAAGGAACCAAGAACTTCTCGACAAATACGAGGGCAACGACATTCCAATTCCAAAACCAGATTATTGGTAAATGATATTTCATTTTATTCGTTATTGTTTGTTAAGTGTTATTGTAGTAATCCATCTTAGCCTTGAAAAGAATTGGTCCGTAAAATTTTGGTAATTATCCAAGATGACATCTTGCGCTTTTGTCATAGTTTTGACTTGGTTGGCTTTTGTGCAGTAATTTGTTTTAACTGAATATTTGTCATTTGACTCATTAGATTTTATATGAGATGTTAGTGAATAGATAAAATGTAGAATTGGTAAAGACAGGTGTTTTTCTGTTTGGTTTTACTGAATCAGAATAGATTAAACCAAAAATATTTCCTCCTGTGATTACTTTTTCTAGTAATAATGACTTTTATATGTACATCGCTAAGTAATTGTATTGTCTTTTTTTCTGGCGCAGGGGTGGATTTCGAGTCGTCCCAAATCGATTTGAATTTTGGCAAGGCCAAACAAACAGACTCCACGACCGTATTGTGTTCAGGAAACCAGAGGAAGGAGAAAAGGTGGATCCGAACTTCACACACACTGGAGAAGAAGGCTGGGTGTATGAGCGACTGATGCCCTGAGCTGTGTGGTTGTGATGTATGCAGTGTGTTGCTTAAGTCTTTGTCTAAACACCAAAAAGTATTTCAAAATCTTATATATAGACAGCAGTGAAAGGTTGTTCATTACTTACAAAAGTATCAGAGGTATGCTGCGAAATTGTTTCCCCTTTGTACAGCTATTTATTTTTGGTTCCTTTTTCAGCATTATCATTGTCAACATAGCACCAAGTAGGCCAAAATGTTAAGTGCAAAAAAAACCCTTTTTTTTTTAGCAAATGCAACAAGATCTTGATTTTTTCTTACAGTTTTTTTCATACTCATGAGGTTCTTTGTTCAAACACTTGCATTTGCACCAAATCCTTTTTGTGGAGACCTTTTTGGCTGTTTGATTAGCTGTTGACAACAACACAATCAATTAGTTAAGCTCAGAAAAATATGCTTTAATTCAAAGGAACAGAAACGAAAAAATGGGCTCACTTTTGCATCATATTTTATAAATCACCAAGTTACATTGTGCCATCATACTGTGTAAGTGGGACACCCTGCCTCTGGTGGCTCGAGAGGAGAGGTTGAATTTGTTGTCGTTTCATGTAGATTACTCAAGGCCTTTACTTCTTACCACTCAAATTATACCCTGTGTGTGTGCACATGCATGCTTGCTTGAGTGAGTGTGTGTGTGTGTGTATTTGTGTATACAATGGTGCTCGAGGCTTCTTACTCTATGTCCCCGAAAAACTGAAGCCAAGTGTGTGTTTTGCTATGAGAGTGTTCGCCATGTGCTGAGGGTCGTCATTGGTAGTGGTGAGTGGAGAAATGAGTGTAGACAAAGATCTCAAGATATGTGTCAAGTGGAATCTCCAAAAAACATATGAAAATTACAGGGGCGGCATCATAATGAAATATAAATCACTGATTTCAAATCCACAACTTAGTTGAGAAAAATAGTTAGAGCTGGTCAATCATTGTAAAAAGATACTATACTATAGTCTACACAAATCTGGAAGTCTTTTGTTGAGTTAGCTGCGTTTTGGAGAAATTGTGTATCATTGTAATTACTTATTTATGTCTAACCATTCTTTTCTGGACTTTAGGATGCGTTAGCAACTCAGTTGTTGTTTTTTCCCTCTCATCAACAATTGTAACGAAGTTGACCGAAGTTTAAACGGTTGTATTGATAATTTAGAGTATATGTGTTGTTTTTGGGTACCATATTCCAAGATATCGCACTTTCTGGTGAAGATGTAAACGATTGCACACTTTTATGCCTTTTTCCAAGGTTCTTACTGCCACTGAACCTGCACACTTGTGGTAACTTTTCTTCCATTTTTGCACAGATTGATAAATGAGTCTGTTTTCAGCAATGCATCTTTTTATTTTACTTTGTACATCTTTATACAGAATGTATGATGAAATGTTCTGTTTGTGAAGGAGATTTGTATTGTTTTTCCCTTCCACACGGCTGACTTGTTGAACCACTTAAGACAGTAGCTATTTTTATCATGATCTTAAAAGAAATCCACTTTTTTATTCTTTATTTTTCATGGCACTAGATCGAACAGGACTTATGAAGGTGGAGTGAATCTTTTTGTGTATTGTATCTGTTATGAAATTTTGCATTGTGGTTCATTTTGTGTGCTCATCTATAATTATATAATCCTGGTGGCCTGATCTTTTTGTCCCTTTTTAGAGTAAGCCTCAAATTTTCTCACCTTAGATTTAAATGAATGAAGAATTTGAGATTCCTAAAAGTATGATAATGGAGCCAGGTTTTCATGATTTTGATGTTAAGAATTTATAGTTATACATTCCGATTGCAATCTTGTTATAAAATACTCCTGACTTGAGCGGTTGGTTTTCTACTCCACTTCTTAAAATTAAGTTTAGTTTTGGTTCTAAGTTGCACAGGTAAAAGCAAATAGGAGTCCCCAAAGCCTTGGCATTGTTATAAATTTTTTAACAACACGCTTTTCACTCTATATGTCCAATCTATATCAAGTGTTGAGACTTTAAGTACAACTATTTTATGTATTCTCAAGTTATCCAGCCTCTTGCGGTTTCAAAAGCTTATTTTTGGGGGCATATACACTACACTTTTTAGAGGAATGATCAGAAGTATGAAAACTGTCGTGTGTGTGGGTTGGGTTGTTGTTGATTGGTGGAGGGGCAGTTCTTTGTATATAAAGAATATAATTCTTTGATCATTACACATTTCATATGTCACATACCGCAACCATGAGTCGAAAGGTTGTCTTTCTTGAGTAACTAAAGTCATATTTAGAGTTTAAAAGAATCAATTTTATATACCACAATATGAGTTTTGTAGTTCTTGTCACATGAAACTAGGACTTTAATCTCATATTTCATGATTATGTTTTGTCATCTCCACAGATTTACAAAAGTTGTGGTTTTGATAGTAAGGTAGAGAAAATCAGGTTGTCTAACCTTGTGACTTTGACGGTGATGTGTCTGTGTTTGTGTATTTGAGTTAAGTGTGGGTATGATGTTATGTTCACATTATATATATATACGTGGATACCTGGAGGTGTCATCTCTGCCTCAGAGGTTGACGTGTATTGACCCTCCATCTTTCCTGGTCGCGAGCTGCTGTTGCACATTCTGCCATATCCACGCCAGTCCATGTTCTTATGTATTATATATATATGTTATGTTACAATTTAAGCAGATGAGAGCACAGCATCAATTTCTTCCAATGGAAGATCTATGAAACATATTCTGCCTCATCTACACAAGGGAAAGAAAACTTCACATTCACTTTAAACAGAGTATAATTGAATGTTATCCGCACACTTCATGTGGATTTCCTCTTTATTATTATTTTTTAAATGTAGGTAACAACTGCACTGTTTCAGTTAGGTCACTTTTATCCCGAATTTTTAGACCAATTGCTTTGGGAGATTTTTTTGGCTTATCTTTTAATTTGTGCTGGGTTTAATTAAAGTTAAAGAAATGTTTATTATAGGCTAATAGTTAAAGTTAAGGTGAATGCATTGTTTCTGTAAAAAAAGGTATCGTTCTGTTGTTGATGTCAGGAGTACATTTACTGTTTGGTAACAAAATGTTTTGCTGTTGTTTGTAGAGAAGAAACTGGTACGAGTTTTTTGTGATAAATAAAAGCACATTGGTGACCTTACTTAGAAGTTTAAAAACCATTTTTTTATTCTGTGGGTGGTTGGCGGGTACTTTGGTGTGGTTTGTTCTTTCTTTCCTGTCGAACATTTATTTATCGTTCTCATCTCTCCTCTTTTTTTGTGTTTTTACTCGCTTGTAAGACCTGTACTAATCTTCAGCGCTTATATATTATGACCTTATTGTGTTGCCAGTGCCATAAAACGTTTACTAAAAGAAAGCAAAAAAATTTTTTTTTTGCTTTATGGCTTTCTCTTTTTAGTAGTTAATGTATGAGTGTTCAAAAGGTGGGGAAATACCATTTGTGGGACAGGCGGTTGACTTATAAGTCTGCAAATAATGTATTTATTGTTGAATGCTGAATCCTACTTTTATAGATTTTAGACCTCCAAGGGATCTTTAACCCAATCCGTACGTCGTGTTTTACTATTGTATCCATACGACGTGCGGAACTCTGTGCCATCACTTTCTAAAGAGGAAATTTACCCGTTAATCCAATCCGTACACTTTGCATAGCAGTATTTCAAAATGATTTTTTGAGAAATACTGAAAGTTTCAATTTGGACTTGGCCGAGAAGTTTTTTAAAATGTGAAGAATACAACACCCGGGGTACAAAATGACCCCAGGGCGTACAGATAGGGTAAATGTGCGCAACTTGCACACAGGACCTCCAAGATTTTTCGCCCTTGTCCGAGAAGGCTAGGTGTAGATCTTTTCTGCCAGAAGATCAGGGGTGTGGCTGAAAGACAGCAGTAAGAAGGAGCCATGGAGTAGCAGTAGAAAGGCTGCAGAAAGAGTCTGGAGCCCAGAGGAGGGGGCAAAGGAGGTGAGGGGGTGGGGCAGAAAGTGGAGACGAAAGGAGACGACAGAACATTTCCAAAGAGCATAAATATTTAAAGAAGAAAATTTTTTGGTCAATACACGGATTCGAACCCGGGACTTTGAAAGAGAGGCGAACACCTTAACCTCTATGCGACGAGAGCCCCCAAACACATGGTTGGTTGTAGTCGCGGCCTTGAGTGACTTAACAGTGTTTTGGGGTTTTGGGATGTAAGGAATCCATCTTATTGCAAGTTTAGGATTCCATGTTATATCATTTTATGTGCTCTGAGACATTTAAACTTGTCAAGACTAGAGAAGTTTCGACACGTGCCTAATTTTTTATTACATAGCCTACTGTATTGAGTAGATTTTGTATCATAGGCTACTGTCTATTGTCTTTGGGTAGCCAAAGGGGTCTATGAAATGCCCATTTCATTCCAGTAAGAAAAGGTCCAACGCCTACTTTTTCAGAACAGCTGCCAATATTAGTTTATCTGTGTACAGGTGCTTCTCTATTATGTAGTACTTAAAGTATATTTATACATTTATTTCCATTCCATCCTCTTATCTTTACTTTCTCTCCATAGAGTTTAATGATTCTTTTATCCAACCTCTGAGCTAGGTGCTCACAGCCCTAGTCCAAAAGACATGTTTTTGTCTACCAAGGGGTTATATTCGTTCAAATTCCGCCTCCCCCCCCCCCTCCAGCCTCCAGCTGCAACTTGAAAAGAACAGTTGTCAAGAGTCAGACCACCGCTTCCCCCCCTTCTCTCTCTCTCACCTGCACTTGAATGTATGGGAGACAACTTGTATGGTAGTGAAAAGAGTTCATGGGAAGGAACCGAGGATGATGGTAGATTTATGGTCACCAAGAGTTACTGCCCCTGGTCTGCACAAACGAAAACGAGGAGTAAACCTTGGCCTTCGGAATTGTATGACTTTTGCCTCTCTTTTATGTAGTGAGGATGAGAGGAAATGGATGGCTGGTAGACACATCAGCTTACCACGGTAAAACTGAAATGATCCGGAAAAGAGTTTCTCGAAATAGAATCTATCGGGTGTGTGTACTGTAACTTTCCGTGTGGGTCAGTAGCAGGGAGAAGAAAATGGCTTCTCTGTCATGACCGCAGTAGGCTCACTGGTCTAAGACCCTCGTCCATCGTCGCTTACCCGTTTAGCCGTTTCACACAATGTTTGGTGTCTGTTCAAAGTAATGGAGGGGCTGAAAGCTTAAGAGAATTATTTGCTTTTAAAGAAAACATAGTTTTATTTGGAAAGGTTAATGTGTTTAGTTTAGTGAGAACTCTCTTGTAACACCTCTAATCTTCTGGCGCTCATATGACCTTATGCAGTTGCGAGTGCCGTCAAACCTCTACTAAAACAAATAATAAAACAAAAAGCTGATTTTGTAGATCATACTAGTACGAGCATACATTTTTTTAAAAATACGCAGGCAGCTTAAACAGCCCTGTCTGTATAAATAGGCTACAGTAAAGAAAGAAATGAGTTTTTGTTTTAATTATGTATGGGGGCATAAAGGAACATACTTCAGAGGGGTGAGGATGGTGGTTGGGGGGAGGGGGGGGGGGGTTAAAAAAAGCTACCGGACTGAAGTTGCGCATGCACGCCCGCGCTTACACACACACACACACACACACACACACACGCGTGCGTACGCACACAGTCACATACACAAACACGCGTGCGCGCACACAACTCCCCCCCCCCCTCTCTCTCTCTCTGTCTCTCTTTCTTTCTTTCTCCCCCCCCCCTCTCTCTCTCTCTCTCTCTCTCTCTCTCTCTCTCTCTCTCTCTCTCCCTTGTGTGCTGGGCTTGCATACGTCAATTACGGTAAAACCTCATTTTTTCTGCTGCTACTCCTTGGCTTCTTCTTACTGCTGTCTTCCTGCCACACCTCTGATCTTAGGGTAGGTAAGATCTAGTACCTAGCTTTCTTGGATAGGGGCAAAAAATCTCGGGGGTCCCATGTGCAAGTTGCACATGTTAGAGAGCCCTTCGTGCTCAATTGATTCCAACCAAACTGAAAATGTTTAATGTGTTCTGCGCGTTCAAAATGCTTTATTTGCGAGCGCCGTAAAACACTTACCAAACAAACCCCCATCCCTCCTTTTTCAAAGTACATGAATTCTCTAATGTGCCTTTTTCTGAAATTACCGGTGGGTCTACTATAATATTTGCAGTTGCAATTCATTTATGCGCAATAACAGTCTTGTTCAGAAAGTTCGTCATGGACAATCCTGAGACATTTTGCGTGTTTGAGATAATGAGAACAAAGTCTGCTCCTACTCCCCGTACAAGAGTCACATGACTTCCTACAGATCGTAGCACCCACCTCGTCATTTTCCCTCTACATGTACTTCTTTTGTATACGGTATTTGGCACTCTCTTGTGACCCGCTATTTCCGGGGTGCCTTGATGATAATCGAAGCAGACTTTGTGCTGTTGAAGCTAGAGAGGTGAGCAGAGTAAGCCCGATTCCCTGTAAGGACTTTTCTGTTGACATCCACCCCTTGGCGCTCATATGACCGTATGCTGTTGCGAGCGCCGTAAAAAAACTTCTACAAAAATTTAAAAAAAAAAAACCCAGAAAAAAACCCAGATCGTGGGACAGCCTTGCTGTTGAGAACGTTTTGTTCCGTACCTCACACAGAGGAGAGATCCATCTGGTGTCTTGAGTTAAACTTTTTATGCTTCCCAAAACAGACGTCCTAGGTTATCATAATAGGTGTAAGGGACCAGTTGGATTCAACCATAACACATTCTCCATCTTCCCCGTTTAAAAGCTTTACGCTCGGGTTATCCAAATACGTTCCTCGTATTCCATTTTCGTATGTGGTGCACCTGAATTTGAATTTTCAGAGAAGGAAGCCTGGACGATCGTTTTAAGTTAAGCATAAAATGTATATTTAGTTTTAGTTGTTTTCTTAACGGCAAGACAGTTTTGTTGATTAATCGCTCCCCAAGTTATGAAAAAACGTCTCACAATTGGCGGAGATTGTTATTCTGAGATTGATAGATTTTGAAAGAAATGAGTGCAATATGCAACAGAAGTTAATAAATTTTGATTTTTTAAGTTACTGGTATCGCCGTTGTTGTACATGTATACACAAAAGTACGTTCACGATTCATTTACTTCAAAGTTGGCTGGTTTGTTTTAGGTTCACCGACATATGAGGTGTAACAACGCGGGCTCTTTGTCGTTGTATGAGAAGAGAATGTTGCATACCTGTAAAGCGAAAAGATTTTAAAAAAACCGTTCGTTTTTCTTTCCTTCTGAAGCCTTCACTCGGATAGATCAAATGGACCCAGTCCAGTTTCGAAATATGGGCTTACCCTCTTTCAAGCCGTTCTAATCAAGGTAAATATGTTAACACCCCAAGATCGGCGAGATTTCTCGTTTTAAAAAAATTCTCAATCTTAGTTGTTTTTTTTTCTCTTCTATCGACAAATGTGTTATCCACATAAAGACGTTATATTGTATTTCCCTTCGTAAAAAAAAGTACCCGCACTGAATATTTCTTTTTCTTTCCAGAACCGTCAATATGTATAGACCTACATCTAAAGCAAACACCCCCAGACCCTCAAGACGTGGACTCTAAAACCCTCTATGTATCCCTCAGGCTACCCGCCACAAATTATTTGTACTGTACGATACGATAACTTTTTCTTTGCGGTAAACCAGCAAGTACGGAAAGTTTGGTCTTTGATCAACTGCATTTTTTTCAGTAGCCTAAGGCTTTTGAGGACCAATACTTCAAACTGAAAATAAAGGCTCTTAGTGTCTTAGTACCTCGAAAGGAGGAAAAGGAGAGGGGAGGGTGTCAGAGCAGTTGTCATTAAATGTCAATATATAGGCCTGTAGCCTGTACTAAAACGCACAAAAAACGGCCAAATTCAATGAGGTGATACTAAACAAAGTAAAGCCATTAGTGTAGGCGCTCAAGACAGACACCAACGTCTTCTCAGAAAAATACTCTTTGCCAAATGTCCATCAGCTTGGCCAACAAATTAAATACTCCAAATTGCGGCAATTATTTCTAAAAAACTACCTCTTCATAACGAGTCTACTGCTTGTTTAGTTGCATGAACCCTGCAGTGTTCAGGGAAGATGTAGTGGTGGATTCAGCAGTGCACCAATCACTCTTTCCTGTCCCCTCGACACAGACTGTCATGACC